AGCCATGTAAAAGAAGCTGTCCATGTCGGGGAGAGGGGGAAGATGGATATCCCCTCATTCAACTCACTCCCCATCCTGGCAGCTACAGAATTTAAAGTGAAGGATAACATGATGAGTAAAAGTTTGCTCCTTATTTGAAGAACAAAAAAACCTAGGAGACAGGCATGCTGTGGGGAAAACAAGCATGCCACACACTCACCTAAAGATCCAATGTGATTGGCTCAAGATGTTTGCTCTGTTACCAGAATAAACTTGGAGCAGTCCCATCCCAACTCCCTTCTGTTAACATCTTTGTTGTCATCCATTGAGAACAGTGAAAAATTCACTTCCTTTTGTGTGCAGGATCTTGGGGAGAGCACGTGTCCTCGGAGGAAATCAGGGAGCCCAGAGCATGGTTCCAGCAACATGGCTGAGCCATAGTAGCAAGTTGGGGCTGGGCTGGATACCCTGGGGCGGGGGGTTGGGTGAACAGAGCCCTTGCTGTGCTCCTAGAGCTGAAATTAAAGCACTGAAGCCGGAAAGTTCAAGTTCTTCATTAACATGGAAGTAATTGAGATCACGTGGTGCGTATACCTCCGGTGGGAGGGGAAACCTGAGTCACTGCCGGGAGGGGCTGACGAGAAAGGCATGGCTCCACTCATTCACTGCAGAGGAGACACTGCTGAGCCATCCTCTGACCTTTGCTGAAGAAGGAAGTTTGAGAGACTCAAACCAGAATGTCCATCATAGAGTCCCCAAGGCAACGTACACTGAAACCTGTGTAAGTTGTGGTTGGGTTAAAAAGGCAAGGGGAGCCGGGCGGTGGTGGCGCACGCCTTTGATCCCAGCACTCGGGAGGCAGAGCCAGGTGAATCTCTGTGAGTTCGAGGCCAGCCTGGGCTACAGAGCGAGATCCAGGACAGGCACCAAAACCTACATAGAGAAACCCTGTCTCGAAAAACAAATAAACAAAAAGGCAAGGGGACAGTTTGTCTGGGAAGCCCTGACCTGTTCTGGCATCTTGCAGTGTGCATTCCAGCATCACTTGGTGGGTTTCTTGCTGACTTCTAAGTCAGAGAGAGATGGTGTTCAGCACTGTCCCTACACTGCCAGGAGCACAGACCTTTCCTAGATGTCTTCTAAGCCTTGCTAGCATTCTCCCTTAATTTGTTCATTCTAGGTATGTGCGTGGTCAGGGCTCTTTGCAGCGGTACCTAGACCAAACAGCAGCTGCAGTGGAGGTACTTAGGTCTCCTCGGTATGTGTTGTTCCCCTTGGTCAAAGCCACACTGAGCTGCCTCCAAACTGTCCAGGCATTCAATGTCTGCGAGACCTGGGATCTGAGGACCTTGAAGAACGGGCACGGACTACAATCTACTGCCACAGACAACTTGACTTCAGTTTCAGTGGACTTTTATACATGGATGTAACAAAGAAAGCAATGGTCCAGGGAAGGTTGTTTGAGTTCAGGAAAACATGTAAATAAACACCAATAAGCACATACTAAATATGAACAGAGCAGCCCTTTCCCAGAACTTCTCAGGACAGACCAGTTTAAACACAATTGCCTGCCATGTACTATAAATTATATCTGGGAAAGCACGAGAGCAAGTCAGAGGCCGTGGGCACATTGAGGGCACACTGAGGACAGCACTCAGCATGTCCTTTCACCAGACTGGTTCTATTGCTGTGTTCCGACATCCAACAAGAATAAACATGCCTTGTAAACCCAAGGCAAATGTTTAACACGGGAGGCACAAAACCACATCCAAGAACAATCCAGGGAACAAAATACACCCTCTGCCTTTTTCCTGGAGCCTCTCTCCCAGTTCCCCAAGGCATTGTTCACCACCTGCCGTTCCTCTGACCGCGTTCTGACATGTTGGTAACTTCATCCCCAGTGTAAAGTGTTGGGAGGGAGGCCCTGGTAGGCGAGGTGCTTAGGTCATGAGGACGCCACCCTTTTGAATGGATGAATGCAGACTGTAGAAGGGTTGGAGGCTTCGAGTTCTGTCTCTTGCTTCCTCTCCTAGGTGACTCCTTCCACCGTGCTGTGATACAGCGTAACGGGCCTCATCAGATGAGGCGCTTGAGTTTCCCAATCTCCTGAACTGTAGAGTAAATCTTTGCTCTTTAAAAGTCACCCAGTCTCAAGTATTCTGTTGTAGCAACCCCAAACAGAAAGCAATGGTTTTGTTCCTTTCTGACACATGCTTTTTTAAAAACTAAGATCATTACGTCTTCCCTTAACTCTAGTCTACCTCATAAATCCTACCTTACAAACCATCTGACCTAATATTAGGACCTACTGTGTCCCAGGCCTCAGAAATCCTCCATCCAAGCTCTTAGGAGATCTTTTTCCACCTTTACTTTTTCTTCCTAAATCCTACCAAAAAAAAAAATTCAAGACAGTCCAAAGAAAAACCAGAAGGCTGGAGAGATTGCTCAGCGGTTAAGAGCACTAACTGCTCTTCCAGACGACCCAGGTTCAAATCCCAGCACCCACAAGACAGCTCTTGTTACTATTACCACATGGCAATTACTTTCTGTAACTCCAAGATCTGACACCCTCACACAGATGTACATGCAAGCAAAACACCACTGCACATAAGATCTAATATATATATTTAATTAAAAAACCCGCCTGAAGTGTGACATGAACATGCACAGCTCTGTTAGGGAGAGGTCATCTATATCAGGCTTTTGCATAGTGTCATGAGAAATGTTACAATTCAAAGCACGGGCAACAGCTGTCCTCGGTGGTAACAAGAGATGGGGAATGGAAGTGGGAGCGAGTGGACTTGCTAAAAGCAACTGCAAAGAAAGTTCTCAGGAACGAAAGAAGAAAAGTAAGAGGTTATACATGGGAAAGCTGGACAAAGGTGGGGTTCGCTCATACTGGGTAGGTTGAGGCAATCTCCTTCCAACAGACAGCATGAGTGGCAAACTATATAACTTGAAGTTTGCTTCAGGACTCTTTTATAATATGTCTAAAATTACGATAAGCAAAGTCCAGAAAGACCAGGATTATAAAAAGGACTGGCAAGAATGGAATTAAATGGATGGTACCTGCAGGGTGGCAAGCTCTCTTAACCACTGAGCCGTGACTCCAGCTCCCAAGAGCGTCATTTTGAAAAGCTTTGACTACATCATTTCTCCCACAGTTTTGTGTCTATTACAAATGACCGTAAAAGCCAGGTCTGGTGGCATGCGTCCACAGTCCTGGCTGTGCAGAAGACTGAGGAAGAGGAATCATTTGAGCCCAGGGGCTTCAGAACAAGAGGGACAACACAGGAGGACCCTGCCTGAAGAAATGAAAACTAGGGGGCTGGAGCGGCCGTTCCGCAGTTAAGAGCACTTGTTTCTCTTGGAGAGGACCTGGGTTCGATTCCCAGGATTCACATGGTATCTCACATCCATCTACAACTCCAATTCTAGAAATCAGATGCCCTCTTCTGACCTTTGTGGGCACTGCCAACATACATGCACGCGACTCACTCATACACAAGAAAGAAAGAAAGAAAGAAAGAAAGAAAGAAAGAAAGAAAGAAAGAAAGAAAGAAAGAAAGAAAGAAAGAAGGAAGGAAGGAAGGAAGGAAGGAAGGAAGGAAGGAAGGAAGGAAGGAAGAGAAAACTAAATAGAGGAATGAAATGTGCTCCATCTTCAGTAGAATGGTATTTCTGGAACAAATTAAGATAAACTTTATGATGTTGAGTATAAAAATAAAATTCTCCTAACTTCTACTTTTATTAGATAGGAAAGTTCTCCATAGTGTTTTTGGAAATGTGAAAAAACAACAACATTGTAGTTGTTTCTTGAAACTGATCATAAAATTTACTCAAAAGTTGGGTCAGTATCAGAAAGCTGTGTTACATAATTCACGCTAATTTTCTTGTGAAAGGTGTTTAATTCCGTGGGGCTTTTATTTCCGTGGAACTGAAAGTAGCCCACTAATATAAAGCAGGATGAACATCCCTTTTGAATTTGCTAATACACACAATACCTCATTCAACATATGGGAAAGGGCTGGGGATGCACTTCAGCTGATAGACTGCTTGCCTAGCATGCATGAAGCACCACGTAGAACCCAGTATGGTGGTACAAGCCTGAATCCTAGCACTCAGGATGGATACAGGAGGAGCAGATGAAAGGTAATTGATAAGTAAAAATATATCCCCTGTTAGTGGGTAACTCCGCCGATTCCATAAGCCAATCAAGCCAAATTAATAAGTCCAGGTTTAATAAACAGAGCAAAACAACTCCAGGTAACTCTTGGAAAGGCAGGAGAGGAAATCACATGGCAGATCTGGTGACCAGGTCTTACATACCCTGTAGGCGTGGTCTTGAGCAGCCCCAGGGGAGGGGCTGACCTTTAGCCAGCTTTCTTCTGGCGGGATCTTGAGAAAGCAGCTGCAGGGAACTGCTGCTTGACACACTGAGGGCGGGGTTTGGAATGTCGCCCCACCCCTCCAACCCGCCGTTGGGGAGGATGTGGAGAACACTGATGGGAACTGTGTGTTAGTACAGCTTTTGGAAAATAATATGGGTATGTCTCAATCTCTCTCTGTCTCTGTCTCCAGGGTCTCATGTAGACTAGCTGGTCTCTAGGGAGGAAATAATGAAACCCATTATTTTGTCAAACAAACAAACAAAAACAATATATGCTAACAAAACATGATAATATATAGTTCTATAGAGCTATGGATGTAGCTCAGTGGTAGAGTGCTTGCCTAGTATATGCAAGGGCCTCTGCTCTAGCTCAGCACTAAAAAATTGTGTGTGTGCACACACGTGTGTGCACACGTAGATATAATGTAAAATTGAGATTTGTTATCTTTTAAAATTTGTCCCTGTATAGATGCATACAAAATTTAAAAACTAGCCGGGCGATGGTGGCGCACGCCTTTAATCTCAGCACTCGGGAGGCAGAGCCAGGTGGATCTCTGTGAGTTCAAGGCCAGCCTGGGCTACAGAGTGAGTTCCAGGAAAGGCGCAAAGCCACACAGAGAAACCCTGTCTTGCAAAAAACAAACACACAAAAAACAAAACAAAATTTAAAAACTAAATGTATACTTCTTAAGAACACGAAATTAAGTCCTGTCTATGACAGCTGAGAGATAAACACTGAAAGCTAGTTAAATTTGAAACTCCAGGCTTCAAATTACCTGAAAGGTAAGGGGATCAACATGACTTGACTCAGTCTCCCAAACTGAAGCGTGGGTGCAGCATATTGGGGTTCCTCGACATACCTTCCTTGTTCTTTTATCTGAAGCATTGGTGCCTTTAGTTCAACGTAGCGGCTTTGTTCTGTTGCACATCAATGTATTGTGAGGTTGCTTCGCTTCAAACGGATCCATTACATTCTATTGAATACATACAAGCTGTAAGTCATGAAAAGTGGGAAGACTTTTAGAAAGGGTGTTTTTCTAGTGCTTAGAAATAGTTCTCCCTCCATGGGGCTGGAGAGATGGTATAGTGGTTAAGAGCACTTGTTCTTCCTGCAGAAGATCCAGGGTCAATTCCCAGCATCCATATGGTGGCATACAACCATCCATAACTCCAGTTCCAGGGGGTCCAACACCTTCTTCCGGCCTGCAGGACACTGCACTCATGTGGTGCACAGCCATACATGTACACAAAACACCCAAACATAAAATTTTAAAATTAAATTTAAAAAAAAGAAATAGCTCTCCCTGAAAGTTTCCTAATGTTTCTACCACTGTCCACACACCACACTCACATACGTTATCAGTTGAACCTTTACACAGAAGCTCCACGTGATTCTTGCTATTCTCAGCCTTGTCCGTGGGCTAAAATTAGAACGAGGCTGACATTGCTTTTCACTTCGTTACAGCCCGACAGAGGATTTCAGTCATTTGGATCCACACTGGAAAGAAAATCACCTCGTGTTTCTAGCTGAAAATCAGGACCTCTGGGTATGTGTGTTGGCTGCAGCATCCCCCAACGGTGAGTGCTTTTCCAAAATAATTTTCCTCCGTTCCTTATGCATAAATGAATTGCCAACGATGACTTCACTGTGTGTGTATGTGCACCCATGTAGTACTGGACTTGAGTTTAACTTATGAGTCCTTTAGGGGATTGTCGTCACTCACATAATTGTCACTCTTTGGGACATAGGAGATAGGCTTCCCTGCAAGCAAGAATTTAAGATTGTATTTCCCTGGCTTTTTTTTTTTTTAACTTTGGGAAGCAGACTCCCATCGTGGTATCAGCATGCTTACCTCACTGCTAGGCTAAGTCCTTTTCCTCACAAAGCAGTTAGATGCACAGATGTGTTGTTATGAGCTTGTTTTCTGAATCTGTCATTTTAGGAAAACTAATATTAGAGATGAGTAGTATTTAATGTCAAACAATGAAATAAGTTAGCAAATGTGCGTTTATATATAATAAAACAATACATGTACGGAGACTGATGGATTCACAACACGCCCCCACGGTTGGGCATGTTTGCGCATACCTGGCGGACCTAGACACTTCCGCCTAGCCAGTTCCAGGTCAAAATAGCCATTTCCGGGTCAAGGCGTCTCATGTGACCAGGACCCCGTGGCTTTGCATGATTGCGTAAGAGTGTGCAACGCAACCATGTGATCTGTGCACATCCGTGGAATAGCTACATTGAACTGTGTATGCTTGCGCCACCCAGCCTTTATAAGCCGGCGCCATATTCCCGGCCTTCTCCTCTTTCTTCTTCCCCACACAAGTGTCTCTCCGCAGGCCTGAGCACTCATCTGTCTCTTTCATCTTAATAAAACTCTTGTTAGTGGATTCTGTCGTGTTTCGTGACATTTCCTCGCAGGGTAAGAGCGCCGCTAAATAACTAACAGAGACAGCGTGCATTCTTTAAATATTTTTATTTTATATTGTTGAAAGTATTTAGTACTCGCTTCAATTTTATTAACATCTGAGACAATAAATTATAGGTCACATGCCCAGGCAATTAGGTCACTAGTCCATGTTCTCTATGGTGTCTTCCCCCACCATCTCTCCCTTTCTTCTTTTATCCATCTGTCCTTTCCTTCCTTCCTTCTTTCTTATTTTGGCATGATGTTGTTATATATTCCAAGCTGGTCTCAAACTCACCATACTCCTGCCTCAGCCCACCAACAGACATGTACCATTATGCCTAACACCAAGGTTTATTTCCTGTAGAAAGATTTCACACTCAATTCCTGTCTGTGGGCTTCATGCATTCCTGAGAAATAGTACCCTATTAATCCTAGTAATTTTCTACATATTTCTAATGACATAGCAACCCTAATTTTTTTTCTTGTAACAGCTCTTTTCTGCTTCTTTTTCTGTCTACCCCCATGCACCTTGAGTAATTTTGATCCATGGAAAAGTAAATTTCCAGGAGGCATTCGTTATTTATTGTCATCATCATCATTATCATCATCATCATCATCATCATCATCATCATTGTCATCATCATCTTGATACTTTGGAAAGTCACTGTTGGGGACTTGTTCACATTGCATAGTGAAGGCCTAGTCTACCTGTTACTGAGAGGGGATGTGTACACCTTGTATATCACCTATGCTCTTCAGAGTAGTTACAGTCAATTCACATTCCCACCGACGCACAGCACTGAGGGAAATTCCTCACTCAAACTTGTACCGATACTGGGTAGAGTCAGTCGGTTACTATCAGCCATTCTGACAGGATGTGTGTAGACAGTTTATTTTGGTTTAATCTACAGACTCCTAAAGCTAAGTACAATTTATGATTTTTTTTGTCATTTGGATTTCCAGGGTTTTTTTCCCCATCTTATTATCCCTCTTTGATTGCTTTTTTTTCTTTCCTCTTTTAGTACATGTTAAGTGTGAGCACTGGGTTTCACCGCCACACGTTGATGCATACATGTAGCACACTCTGGGCACGGTTACACTTCTGTGGCCTTCTCTTGCTTCTGAACTTTCTATCTTCTCTGTGAGTCACTGTCTACTTCCTAATCGTTCTCCTACTCTTTCTCTTGAATTTTTAGAAAAGTTATTTATTTATTATATTATTTTTGAAACATATGTATGTGTACGTTTCTGTGAGATTGAATACCGTGTGTGTGCACGCCTTTGGAGGCCAGAAGATGGCATCAGACCCCCATGAACTGGAGTTACAGACAGTGGGGAGCCTCATGATGTTGGTGCTGAGAACCAAACGTCTGTCTTTGGGAAGAGGAGCAAATGCTCTTAATCATTGAGCTGTCTCTCTAGCCATCTTTAAAAAAAGTAGGTTTAATTAATCTCCTTGTGTGAAAGGCCTATGTGGTAGACACAGCTGGAGCCTGGACCCTCTGAAGGTTGTCAGGCTTGGGGGCAAGCACCTTTACATGCTGGGCCATCTTGAGGGCCCTAGACTTATGTACCCATTGTTTAATAACTTTCCCATTGTTGGATGCAAGTCTAGTTGTGGGTTTTCATCATTATGCATGACATGGTAGCAAAGCTCCTGCTCCTATCACGCAGGCTCTTCTAAGGTTTGCTTTCCTCATGGGAATGTCAAAGGCAACAAAAATCCTCACATCGTGTCTTACATGGGTTTGAAATAAGATACGGTGTGCAAACACGTGGAGAACAGCTGGGCACGCTGGCGTGCAAACACATGTAGAACAGCTGGGCACGCTGGTATGCACCTGTAGTGCCACCTATGTGGAAGCTGAAGTGAGAGGGCTGCTTCAGCCCAGGAGTCTGAGGCCAAACAGGCAGCACGGTGGGCCTTGTCTGAATAAACAGTGAGTGGAGAAATGAATGAGTGAATGGATAAATAATAAACAGAGTTTGGGGAAGATAGAGGTGCTCAACAAACATTGCCTCTCATGATTGTGGTGGTGCTTGTGAGTATTCTGAAACATGATGTTTCTTCCCCTCTCTCATACTTAGGTCTTTCCTGGGGTGGCCTGTGACTCAACTCTTCAGAACTTAAGGAAGTAGATGACTCGACTACAATGTGGAAAAATCATGACAGAAAATGCAGTTTGTCCTGGGGCCGTCAATGCTGTCAAGGAAGTCTGGGAAGAAAGAATAAAGAAACACAATGAAGATGTGAAGCGGGAGAAGGAATTTCAGCACAAGTATGCTATGACATTTTTTTCTTAGATTAGTAGAAACTTATAACTTCGTCATTATAAAAAGGTCACTTAGTAAGAGCTCTGCTGAATTTGATAGATTTTTATTTACTGAGAACTCAAAATAATCTTTTTTTTTCTAGTTTTTTTTTAAATTTATTTATTTATTATGTATACAGCAGTATGACTGCAGGCCAGAAGAGGGCACCAGGTCTCATTACAGATGGTTGTGAACCATCATGTGGTTGCTGGGAATTGAACTCAGGACCTCTGGAAGAGCAGTCAGTGCTCTTAACCTCTGAGCCATCTCTCCAGCCCCAAAATAATCTTCTTTAAGGCGCTTTATTTTTATTTTATGTATATGAGTGTTTGACTGCAGGTAGGTCTGTCGACCACATGTGTGCAGTACCCATGGAGACCAGAAAAGGGCACTGGATCCCTAGGAACTGAAGTTACTGACAGCTGTGAGTTGCCATGTGGGTGCTGGGAACTGAATCTGGATCCTCTGGAAGAACACGAAATGCTCTTAACTACTGAACCATTTCTCTAGCCCTCAAAATAGTCTTTAATTTTTTTCTTTTTTTATTATTTTATTATTTTGCATGCATGAGTGTTTTGCCTGCCTGTATGTCTGTATTCCTCTCCCATGAAGTGCCCTCAGAGGCCAGTAGAGGGTGTCAGATCCCTTGGGACTGGAATTACAGATGGTTTCCAGCTGTCTTGTGAGTGCTGAAGAGTCAAACCCTGGTCCTCTGGAAAAGCAGCCAGTGCGCTTAACCACTGAGCCATTGCTCCAGCCCTCTCAAACTCTTCTTAAAGGAAATAATTGACTCCGATGGACTATGTGTTGAGAGTAACAAAAGGATGTTTGTGTGTGGAAACGGAGCCCTGCTTAACACCCATAGAAGTGTGGCTTATATGACAGTCTAATTTTCAGGATTATATCCACTACAAACCTAGAGTGCACCTGACAGCAGAAGACGGACATATTCCCCAACCTATCTGAATGGCCAAGAGCTGTAGCCAGAGCCCCTCTGGATCACATGATTTCTTAATAGAGGAGGGCTGTATTTTAGTATTGGGCTCTCATTGCTTCTGAAATCTTGACATTTGGCCTACTTTCCTGATGGTTGCCTTCAACCTAATCTTGCAGGAATACCTCCTTTCTTTGTGAATACCAGCATGCCTCCCTGCAGTTCTCATTCATGAAGCAAATAGCAAATAGCTAATAGCTACTGTCAATTAAAAAAAAAAAATAAGAGGAAGTTCAACTCCAGCGGCTCCAACTGGGGGGAAGGCAATTGCAAAAGTGTCCGAAGCACAGACTCCACATTGTTAGACTCGGCGCCCGTTCACCTCCCTCTGCCAGTTCCCATGTGTGGTTTGGCCCTCAGGTTAGCTCCCTTTATATCCTAGGCTACTGTGTGTGTGTGTGTGTGTGTGTGTGTGTGTGTGTGTGTGTGTGTGTGTGTAAGAGAAAGAGAGAGAGAGAGAGAGAGAGAGAGAGAGAGAGAGAGAGAGAGAGAGAGAGAGAGAGAGAGAGAGACACTGGCCTTGGACTCACAGAGGTCCATCTGCTTCTGTCTCCTAAGTATTCAGATTATCTATCCAGGAAATAAATAGCTAGATCTCAAAAGCAAAACAAAACAAAACAACAACAACAAAAAGATGGCTCAGAGGTTAAGAGCACTGGCTGTTCTTCCAGAGGTCCTGAGTTCAATTCCCAGCAACCACATGGTGGCTCACAACCATCAATAATGAGATCTGGTGCCCTCTTTATTGCTGAAGGGATATATGCAAGCAGAAGCAGAACACTGTATACATAATAAATAAATAAATCTTTTTTAAAAAGAAAAGAAAACTACCTTCTATTAACCTTAAAAACAATTTCACTGAAAAACTACCTCCTAGCATTATAAAACTCGGTTTTGCCAGGTGTGGTGGCACAGGCCTGTAATCCGAACTGTTGGGAAGCTGAAGCAGGGGGACGATGAGTTTGAGACCAACAAACCCAGTGAGAAAGAACTGTGGAGAGTAGGGAGTCAGCCTGTGAAGCTGGGGCTATGCTATTCTGTTGGTTCATTAGAAAGCTACAATATGAGAGAGAACACGAGGAGAGGAGGGAGGGGAAACTGGGGTTGGTATGTAAAAATACATTTTTAAAAATTATAATAAGAAAAGAAAGTTATAATATGATGCCTCAGCAATTCTAAGAATATAGCCCTAGAAATAAAAATATACCACCTGTGAAAGGTCAAGTAGCAATTCATTTTAAAGATGTGTATGTGTGTGTGTGTTGTGTGTTTAGGTGTTCAGGTGGGTGTGTACATGGGCAAGTGTACATGTGAACATGCAAGTGGAGGCCAGAGGTGGATGTCAGCTCTCCTCCTCAGACACTCCCCACCTTATACATTTGCGTGTATGTGTGCATGTGTGTATGCATGTGAGTGTGAGCATGTAAATGCATGTACAGGTTAGTGCTGGGTGCCTTCCTCAGTTACTGTCCACATTATTATTATTCTTATTATTATTATCACAGGGTCTTTCACTGAACTTGTGACTCAGCTAGGCTGGGTGCCCAGTGAGCCCTGGGCGTTCTCTCATCATCCCATCTCCCCTCCTCTAGGGTTACAGATGTGTCATGGGCTCACACTGGTGCTGGAGATCTGGACTCGGGTCCCCATTTTACTACCTCAGCTGTCTCCATAGCTCCTGTTTCAAAAGGTCTTCAATAGGTGGAATGATGCTCCTAGGGTCAGGCGGCACTTGTTCTAAGAAGCCAAGTAAGAACAGGTTTAAGAACAGAAAAGGGAAATAACAGAACATGAGGCAGCTTGGTCATTCCAAAGTGACTTTTCTTATAAAACCAAGACAAGAAGACAGAACAATAAACATAAACAGCTGTGTCACATCAGACTACCTCACGCTGCCTTTAGGATTAAGTTAGGAGTACGTGTTAGGATTATGGCAGAGGGAAATTTATTACCAAACCAATTGGAACTATGTTGTCTTAGTCACTGTACTATTGCAGTGAAGAGACAACATGACCAAGACAACTCTTATAAGAGAAAGCATGTAATCGGAGCTTGCTTGTAGTTCCAGAGGTTTAGTCCATTATCATCATGGTGGGGAACAGTGTGCAGACAGGCATGGTACTGGAGAAGGAGCTGAGTGTACTACATCTGAATCTGCAGGCAGCAGGAAGAGAATGCCACACTGGGCCTGGCTTAAGCATCTGAAACCTCACAGCCCATCCCCAGTGACACACTTCCTCCAACAAGGCCACACTTAACCTTCTCAAGTAGTGCCAATCCCTGATGACTAATCATTCAAATATATGAGCTTACGGGGGCCCTTCTTATTCAGACCCCCACAGAACTTTATTTTGATTTTTAGTCTGATTTGTTGAGGTCCAGTGTAAGAGTTTGGTCCAAAAGAGTGGCCTTTTATAATTGTTACTTATCAGTTAACAAAGAGACATGTACACAAAGGTTCTTAGCAATGTGATACAGAAGAGCCAAGATATACAATTTTTAGCTGATGGATGACCAAATGAATGTGATAGATCCATACAGTAGCGCCATTCCACCATCAAAGGAAGTCACTGCTGATTTGTACTATACAATGTGGATGAACTTTGAATTGTGCTAAGGGGCCAGACACACTTATATATTGCCCTGTTTACATGAGACACAGAACAGGCAACTGTGTAAGTACAAAAAATAGTGATGATCAGGGAGGGAAGAGGGGACGAGGAATGTCTGCTAATGAGGATTGAAGGGGATTTTTTTTTTTTGTTTTTTGAGACAGGGTTTCTCCGTGTAGTTTTGGTGCCTGTCCTGGCTCTCGCTCTGTAGACCAGGCTGGCCTCAAACTCACAGAGATCCGCCTGACTCTGCCTCCTGAGTGCTGGGATTAAAGGCATGCGCCACCGCCACCCGGCTGAAGGGGTTTTTTGAGTGATAAAATATTTTGGAATTAGATAGTGGAGACAGTTGCTTGATGTTGTGGATTTACAGATAAAATCGTTGACTTGTATACTTGAAAAGGTTGAATTCTATGGCATGTGAATCATATCTCACTAATGCTATTAGAAGCAAAATATAGAGAGAATTGTGATACTTTTTAAAACCTTGGGACTGAGCTTAGTATGTGCAAGGTACTGTGCTAGCCCCAGCACCAAAACAAATAAACCAACCTTGAAGCAATAGTGTTAGTAAATCCAAGACACGGCTCACTCTCAAAGGCCAATACACGTGAGAAGAGCGCTAATGTGAAGAAATGCAGGGTTATTAAAGGGCCAGCACCTTCAGAAGATGGGAGGCTGTCGTAGCCTCAAAAAAGACCATCCTTAGCAGCTCAGAGACACAAAAGAGATTTTAGAAGATGGGGTGGTTTGAATGAGAATGACCCCCGTAGGCTCATATGTTCAAATGAGTGGTCCCCAGTTAATAGAACTGTTGGGGAAAAATTAGGAGCCATTGCCATGCCTGTCTGCTTCCTGCCATGATGAGCACTGAGCCAACGGGATTGGAAATCAGATGAAAGGTTGTTGCACGGGTTAGCATTGGCTCCGTGGTTATTTCTCGTTTTTTTTTTCTTTTATGCAAAATCACATTTAATTACATTGTTTCCCCCTTGTCTCTCTTCCCTTCAGCCCTTCCCATTCACCCTTTGCGCTCTCTCAGATTCATGCACGGTCTCTGTTTCTTTCACTCTGTGTATCAGTGGTTTGGGTGGACCTTTTGAACGCTGCTTTTGCCATTACCTATGAATAAAAATACGTCCTGTGTCCTAGGCTGGTGCGGATCTGGGAAGACCGGGTAAGCTTAACTAAGCTGAAAGAAAAGGTCACCAGGGAAGATGGGAGAGTCATTCTGAAGATAGAAAAAGAAGAGTGGAAGGTAAGAGCCCTAGAAGCAGTTCTTGATCACCCACACTCTGGACGGAGTGAAGGCCTGAGAGGATGGGGACCGTCTTTAAGACCAGGCGAGTCAGGAGTTCTGTTAATGGTACAGGTGAATTTGGGCAACATGAACAATGGAAAAGAAATGTAAATGCATGATGTCTTTTTTTTTTGCCCAAGAGTTTCTTTGCTCCCGCCCCACCTGAACTCAAATCCCTTGTGATATTTATTCTCTAGATCCTTCTAATAAGCCGATAGCCCATTGTGCTCTACAATAGTGATGACCAGGCTAACGCAAATCACGTAGCTAAACTAGCAGTTTAGACTTCAAAATGAAAGGGGGCATTTCTTGTTAGGTATCCCCCTGATCGATATTTTTCTCTCCCTCATATGGGTATGAACACACATGCACAGCTGTGCTCAATTACATCAGATAGACTAATTTTTACAAGGGTTTCCAACCCCTGGATCAGTGTTTGTTTTTTCATTCATGGAGGTATTGTTAGCTATGTGGTCACTTTCCTAGTTCATTTTTTTATTTGGCTTGAAAGGAAAAGGTATAGAGTTCAGAGTTAAAAAAAAAAAAACTTTGAAAAACCTCATAAAATAGATTGGAAGTGGTGGCACACACCTTTAATCCTAGCACTTGGGAGGCAGAGGCAGGTGGATCTCTCTGAGTTCAGGCCAGCCTGGTCTACATTGTGAGTTCTAGGACATCCAGGGCTCTGTAGAGAGACCCTCCTTCAAAACAAACAAATATCTAAAATACTTAATAAAAGAAGTGGAAGAGAAATTCAAACCACCAAAATGATTTTTTGGAATATTCTCATTTTCAATTATGTATGTGCTCTTGGATAGTCTAATAAGTACAACAGAATCATTCATTAGGACAGACATCTATGTGTGTCCATTACTGGCCAGAATATGATAGTTTTGTTTATTCTGCTATGGTTGAGACTTAAAGATTTAGCAATAATAACTTGTATAAAACTGAGAATAATTTTTTTTTTTTGGTTTCTCGAGACAGGGTTTCTCTGTGTAGCTTTGGAGCCTGTCCTGGAACTCACTCTGTAGCCCAGGCTGGCCTCGAACTCACAGAGATCCACCTGCCTCTGCCTTCTGAGTGCTGAGATTAAAGGCGTGTGCCACCACCGCCCAGCGAGAATAAATTTTTAACAATTAAAAAATAATAAAAGCCAAGGTTTGAGTAGTAGAAGTAGGCCAAAGTGCCTGGAAATGTCACCAATTAAGGGAAAAGTATCCTCAAGTGCTTCTACAAATCCCATCTCATCACAGCAGAGCAGAACAGTGCTGGAATAACCCAGGCCATGTCAGCACAGCAGAGCAGGACAGTGCTGGAATAACCCAGGCCATGTCATCACAGCAGAGCAGAACAGTGCTGGAATAACCCAGGCCATGTAATGATTGTACACACATTTTACTTTAGACTCTCCCTTCTTCTCTACTGAAACTGAGTCAGCTACAAGAATGGCAACTTCATAGGACGGGCTTGCTGAAAATCCCTGAATTCATTGGAAGATTCCAGAATCTCATTGTGCTAGACTTATCTCGAAACACAATTTCAGAGATCCCCCGAGGAATTGGTAAGGACTATTGCTTTTATTCCTGTGCTATTTTATCTACCTGAAAAATGGGCTTCTTTTTTCTTTCACTTCCCTCCCCCCTTAAAATACATAGAATAAAAATCTTATCACTGAAGCCTCAGAAAATTTTAAACATTTCATCTAACTTAATGCTTCAGGGGATTCAAACTTATACTGGGTGATAGATAACATTTCAGTTGATAAAAGCTTTTGGAAATATTCTGTATATTTTGAAAACATTGCTGGTTTAACTATTTATCTTAGAACACACTTGCGGCAATAAAGGGGGAAAAAGATTCATTAGACGGTGGGAAAGTGTTCCCAAATGAAAAATTGCTCAGGATGTAGTGTTCCGTTTGGGGGTTTGCGGTTGGAGATCAAACCCAGTAAAGGGGATTCCCGCACAGCGATGGCTCTCTCCCGGACCCCGGATTAGGTACAAACTACACCCAAACACCTGTTTTCACAGACAGATCCTTCATTAAGTGGGGACTCAGGCAGAAAACAGCAGCAAATGGACTTACAGGCATAATTTTTAAGAGAAAAAGGGGAGGTCTGTGTTTAGAATGGGCTAGGGTGTGGTGGGAGAGGGCTGAGGGAAAAGGGGAAGGGGGAGAGGGGAGGGGGGCAGGGGTGTTTGTCCTGGAGGGGCGAGGGGAAGGAGGCAGGGGTGCTTGTCCTGGAGGGGCGAGGGGAAGGAGGCAGGGGTGCTTGTCCTGGAGGGGCGAGGGGAGGGGGGGCAGGGGTGCTTGTCCTGGAGGTGCAAGGGGGGGGGGCAGGGGTTTTTGTCCTAGAGGGGTGAGGGGAATGGGGCAGGGGTGTTTGTCCTGGAGGGGCGAGGGAAGGGGGCAGGGGTGTTTGTCCTGAGAGACACAGGACTGCCTCTGGATTGAGAGGAGACAGACATGGCCCATAGGCAAATGGCGATTTGTAGAGGTAAAATGGGAAACCCCGTGTTAGGATGAGGTGTTTAATTTTAATTGGGCATGTTAGTTAGGTGAACCAAAGTGGTTTTTTTTTTTTTTTTTTTTTTGGTTTTTCAAGACAGGGTTTCTCTGTGTAGCTTTGCGCCTTTCCTGGAACTCACTTGGTAGCCCAGGCTGGCCTCGAACTCACAGAGATCCGCCTGGCTTCCCGAGTGCTGGGATTAAAGGCGCGCGCCACCACCGCCCGGCCAAAGTGGGTTTTTGATAGCTGGATTTCAGTAGTCAGCCTCGGGAAGAAGAAGTGGTCAAATAAGGGAGCAGGCCTTGCTGGCTAGTTTTAGGAATGTAATCTGACCGTTTTTAGCAAGGCAGAGGGAATGGGGAGAAGGACAAGGCCTGCCAGAGCCACAGAGTGGGCGAGTGTCCCATTACCCAGGGTCTGGTACAGGCTAGGAAGGGTCTATACCATCCATAGCCACCTTGATCAAGGATACGGAGTCTAGATAAAGCAGAATGAAAATACCACTGCCTTTCCTCCTACAACAGGATAAACATGCCCCTGGCTTAAAAATGAGAAAAGGGAAGAAGGGAATAACTGAATTTTCCAATATGCAAGTAATTTAAGTATGTAAGCAGAAAACACCAAGTCCACCTGCTTCCTATTGTGTATTGTTAGATTTATTGTTGTTGTTTTTAACTATGCAGGACTGCTCACTAGACTGCAGGAACTGATTCTTAGCTACAACAAAATCAAGACTGTCCCCAAAGAGCTGAGCAACTGTGCCAGCTTGGAGAAGCTGGAACTGGCTGTGAACAGAGATATATGCGACCTCCCTCCGGAGGTCAGAAGGTCTAAATGTCTGCTGTGTTGGCATCTACTAACAGTCTGCTTCTCGGGCATGTGATTGTTGTGGGGAAAACAGCAAACAAAAAGCTTGTGAAGCAGTGTTATGAATTTTATTTTAGGAAAGAAATACATAGTGAAAAGCACTTTCTACCAGAAGGCAAGTCTTCTCTTAGAACCAAGTCTACTTGGCATACAAGGCTCCTCTCTTGCTGGCACTGTTCTGCATTATTTCTGGACTGGGTTTCTGTCTGTGGAAAGAAGACAGAACTTTATTTAATTTAATATTCCCATAATAAGGAGAAGCCTGGGTTCCTGTAGTGGTTACTCATACATGCTTGATTATTTTGGCACTGCTAGGGATTGAACCCAGGGTCGCATGCATGCTGAGCAGACACTCTGCTACTGAGCTGTATCCCCAGCCCTTGAAGCTTTTTTGTCTGTCTGTCTGTCTGTTGTGAGGCATAGTCTCACAGTGTAGCGTGTTGTGACCTTTGAACTCCCTGTTTAGTCCAGACTGGCCTCAATCTCTCAATTCTCACTCCTTAGCTTTTTGAGTGCTGGGATTAGAGGTGTACGTGATGTCTGTGAATTAGAATCCACTTCATGCTTTTTTGAATGAAAATGCATGTAATTGTTATGAAGAACAATGAGAGACTAGAAAGTCTCTTTTCCTAGTTGATTTTTATAGCATGCTCACTCCTGAAGTGGGAAGTGTGCCTCATGCTGGCATCCTATGCTTTTCCAAGTAAAAAGTAAGCTAGCAGGTTGGAAAGGCTCCTGCCTTTGACTTAGTGTCTTGTCATTGGTTAAATTAAACTGACAAAGACATCTGTGTCACCTTTCAAACAAACTAATGCTCTTTGAATCAGCAAGAAATGTCTACACTTTTTCTGCCTTGAAAACACGACTTTATAAGACCAAAGGTAAGAAAACTAATAAAACAGAAGGTAGAATTTCATTTTCTTACTTATTTTTTGAGTGTATCAGACTTTTCTTTCCCAAACCACTGGGCATGTTACTAGTAATAGTCAACTCCTCCCAGTTTGCTCTTGCAAACATAGCATATGTGTTTCATCATGTTATAATATTTTAATGAAAACATGAGGGAAATGGTGATAGGAACAATTTATACATGTAGAAAGGCCAGTATGCATGTTTTCTAAAACATGTGATTTTGTTTCTAGGATAGACTCTGTCACTAACAAGCTATGTGAACTTGGACATGTCATTAACCATTCTCTTCACCTTAGATTCTCCAAAAGACAGGTCACTGTCGTGTGACAAGACTTTTCCTGGGGAGACACAACACACATGTCTACTCACCCCAGAAAGGGAGCCCATGACAGACCAAAATATAGATAACACCACAGTCCAACTTGGTGAACCATGAGTTTTATTGGGGTTCCTTACAGGAATATGGATGAAAAAGTTACTTACAGGAGCAAAAATGACTCTCAGACAGCTGCATCACCAAAGCCCACCCCAGCATGGGTGACAGCTCACAAAGCTGGGAACCTGGAGCACACTACATAGCCTGTAGGCCACTCTACAAGTTGGAGTGTCCTTTCCAAGTGACAAATTTAGTCCAAACCTCTTCCAGGCAGCTGGTCTGGTCTGAGTCTGCCCTTCCTTGCCTCTTGGCTTGTCTCTGAGTGACTCTCAGCAGTCTCTGTAGTTCACTCTGGGGAAGAAGGACCCTAGTGAAAATGGTCAGTTTCAGGTACTTCCTGGAGCTAATTAGAGTTATTTACCTGGTGGCTTACAGAGCTTCCCTGCAGGATGGAATGTTTCAATTTCAGAGGAAACTGCTACTAAAATATTAGAAATACTATTCCAAGATCTGACCCAAAGACCATTTAATGCCACAGTGTATCCTCTAAGTAGCTGTGTATCCTTGGACACACCTTCTAATATTGGATTTCTGTTTTCACATATAAGGCTGTCAGGCAGATTTATTATCTTTTCCATATTCTATAATGAAAAGAGTCTAGATAGTGTGCACTTGGGGGGCAGAGGCAGGTAGAGCTCTTTGAGTTCTCAGCTAGCCTGGTCTACATAGCAAGTTGCAGGCTAGCCAAGGCTATAGATTTCGAACATGCCTCAGAAAAAAACAAAACAACAACAAAAAGGATTTTAGTACTACTGAGGGATCAGCAACTGAAAATTTTTCTGTCAGACATTAAACACCTACTTCATTAGTATATGTACCTGTTAACACAAACACTTTTTTATACTCCACATTGAATCATCTGAAAATTTGAAAAGTCTGATAACAGTTTTCAGAAATGCGTTTTTTATTCATGGCTTGAATTAAAAAGCTGGAGAAACAGCATCGCCTACAAGATGGAATCATGCAGCTTCCTGTGTTTGTGTGCACATATGTGCACGTGTGTGTGTGTGTGTGTGTGTGTGTGTATGTAAGTATGTATGTATGTATGTATAGGCCAGATGTCCTCAGGTGTCTTTGCCAATCACGAGCCCCTTGGACCCTTCTGTTTCTGCTTCCCAGCACTGGGATTTCAGATGTGCTACACATACAGCTTTTTACTTAAGTGCTGAGAATCCAAACTCAGGTCCTAACGCTTACTCACTAAGCCATCTCCTCAGCTCCCTCATCCTGCTTTTTTGCACTGACTACAAAACACTGTATTTGTGTACTTCTTGGTGCAGATGGTACAGAAGGAATTCAAAATACAGAACCGCTGGGCGGTGGTGGCTCATACCTTTAATCCCAGCACTTGGGAGGCAGAAGCAGGGGGATCTCTGTGAGTCTGAGGCCAGCCTGGGCTACAGAGTGAGTTCCAGGAAAGGTGCAAAGCTACACAGAGAAAACCTGTCTTGAAAAACCAAAACCAAAAACAAACAAAACAAAACAAAACCCAAAATACAGAACCTTGGCAACCAAGTGGGTAGGCTGTTTAGTTTGTTTTGTAAATGTTAATTAAATTCTTATATCTTAAAACTTGCAGTAGGATAAAGAGGAAGGAATTTTGTGGCTTTAGGTCTATAGCAACTTGAGTTCATCAAGTTACATGAACTCTCTGAGTTATTTTATACATAAAACAGAAATAATGACACTGCCTTTGTGTGGTTGCTGTCATAATTATTCATTTATTTAAGTACAACTGTGGGCTAATCACATAATTAGTTTTCTCAAATAAAAGTGGAGAACAGCCTGGGGGGCGCTCACCAACCTAAGACAGAGCACCTGTGTGCCCTGGGCAGGCATCTCCATGACGGGTAAGGTGACCTGCTGACGTCCCACGCAACCTAAGTCAGAAGCTCATTTTTTAGTAAAAGGGGGACCTGTAGGGTCTTGGCCCCCGTTTTGGGTAACTGTTGCCTTGCTTGCTGACCTTGACCTTGATATCCTCCCTATGCTAATTCCCTGCTGGGTTCCACCCTCCTGAATGCTTAAGGGAAGTTCCTTGTCTGTATATCCTGCATAATGGGCATTAACAGCTTAGATGCAAGATTGTAAAACATCGGTAGTGAACTTCTGCCCTCTGGGGTTCTACCATTGTGCTGTAAGCCTGTATTTAAGACCTCCTCCCTCCTTCAGTAAATGGCATTTGGCATTAAAAAAATAAATAAAAAAGAAGTGGAGAACAGAAATAACTTAATAGATACTATTTTTTTTTTACCTGCATTGGTGTTTTGCCTATATGTATGTCTGTGTGTGGATGTCAGATGCCCTGGAACTGGAGTTACAGACAGTTGTGAGCTGCCATGTGGGTACTGGGAACTGAACCAGGGTCTTCTGGAAGAGCAGCTAGTGCTCTTAACTGCTGAGCCATCTCCAGCCCCAATAATAGATATTTTCAGATTGAAAAAAAAAAAAAAGGAGCTCTAAGCATTACCATGAATACATTTTAAAACTGAAGAGAGAATCCAGGCATGGTGGCATACACCTTTAACCCCAGTGCTCGGGAAAGCCAGTCCAATATAATCCTCAAATGTGAGAACCATAAAATAATACATTCCATGAAAAAAATATTCCTTAGAAAGGCAAATATTTCCATATAGTAACAAAATATAAAAGACGTGCATAGTCATGACAGATACGAAATTTGGGACAGGCACTAGCTCTGAGAAGCAGGGTGACAGGATTGCCACAGTAACACATTCTTCTTCAGCTGAGCACAGTGCTGTGTGGTATAAGATCCGCAGTCACTCATTGCACTTTAAACCAGAATTATTATGGAGTGAGCTCGATGTTTGAGACAGTGAATGTGAGTAAGTCAGTAAGGCAACTGTTATGTCATGAAGAGCAAGTTTTCCCTTATAATTCTCAGTTGCTGGCTGAAAATAAACATGAGAAATATGAGAAATGCTTCCTGAGGTGGAGGATGCTTTTGCCACACAGGTCCTATTAACCCTGGAACTTGGTTATCTTGGAAGACAAATTGTTTTTGAATAAAAGATTTTCATTTCATTTTACTGGGAGCCCAGACTACCCAGGGTGTTTTTGTTGTTGCTGTTTGAGACAGGGTCTATTGTGTAGCTACGGCTATCTTGGAACACACTGTGTAGCTATGGCTGTCTTGGAACACAATGTCTTGGAACACACAATGGCCTTGAACTCAAGAGAAATCCGCTGCCTTTGGCTCTAGTGCTGGGATTGAAGGCATGTACCACCACATCTGCCTTTTTTTTTTTTTTTTTTTTTTTTTTTTGAGGAAGTGTCTTTGTAGTCTAGGCTGCCCTCAGTCTCTGGGATTATAGGCATGTACCACCATGCCCAGCTTCCATTATCCTTATATTTTATTTATTGTGGATGCCTGTGTCTAAGCAAAGCTCAAGTGTAATGCCAGAAGTTATTCAGTTTTATGTGTCATTTGTGGACTGCTAGTTATATAAAGCTCGTGCAATATGAACTTTTTATGTGAAATAGTTTACCAGTGTGAGTCTTCTAGTACTGTACATTGTGGACAACTATTTAAAAAGCCCACTTTCCTTTTTAGCTCAGCAAGCTGTTAAAACTCACCCACCTTGATCTGAGTATGAACCACTTCACTACAATCCCTCTTGCTGTGTTGAACATGCCTGCCCTTGAGTGGCTGGATATGGGAAGCAACAGCCTTCAACAACTTCCTGACAGTCTAGAAAGGTAAAATTGATGCTACCGGCAATTCAAAGCCACCTATGAAAAAATCAGAAACAATATACCCAACAACTAAGAGCCCATAATAATCACAAAAGACCCAATTAGTTTAAAATTTATTCTTTCAGGGAGTTATTTCCACTTATTCCAAATATGTAAGAGGATTTAGGGAAGGGAAAACTAATTGCTTTCAAGACATTACCAAGAACATGCCACAGTAATCACACCGCTTAGTGCATGCCAGGCACTTCTGTGTACGCTACTAAAGGATGAGGGAACCGATGCTGAGATGTTTGTCACTTAGGCCCAAGGCTCAGTGAGCGACATTAATTGGATTTGAACCTAGGAATCTTGACCCGAGTCCATACTGCCTTGACCAGAATCAAATCAATTCCTGATTTTTAAGATTCATATTATGTGACGTTACAGCTGTTCATTTAGAAAACTATGAAAAATATGCAGTGTAAATGTTTTCATTTCTGCCACTGCATGAAAGCTAGTCTAGTCTTTAATCAATTCCCTGATGTAGTTTCCCTGGCAACATCAGGTAATGAGAAAGAATGAAGTCTGTCAAACCAATAACTACATTTTTATTAAATGTTAAATAATTAATAACTAAATTATTAAATTAATTTAAAAAATTGAATGTTAAATGTTATGATACAATGAGGCCAGCTTTTCATATTCAAGGTGACTACTGATTGCAGCATTTTGTTTTCCAGAATGCAAAGTTTACATACATTGTGGCTACAGAGGAATGAAATAACATGCCTGCCAGAAACAATCAGAAATATGAAAAACTTGGGGACTCTTGTTCTCAGCAACAATAAACTGCAAGATATTCCAGGCTGCATGGAAGAAATGACGAATCTGAGGTAAGGGTGTGGTTACAGCATGGCACACTTACTCCTGGGAGCAGAAGTAGGACTACAGACCCTGACCGACACATTTGGGTTGTGATTTATATGACTGCATATTTGTGCATTTAAATTTTCCTTTTGTGTCTGGGTGTTTTACCTGCACACTGCTTGTGTGCCAGGTGCCCATGGAGGCCAGAGGAGAGCACTGGATCTCTTGGAACTGGAGTCACAGAGGGTTGGGCTGCCATGTGGGTGCCGGGAATTGAACTTAGGTCCTCTGTAAGAGCAGCCAGTGCTCTTAACTATTGAGCTATTTCTCCAGCTTGAGTGTATATATTTTAAACATATATTCCAATGTGATTCATTTTTGACCAATTTTACCCTGAAACATGGAATATCATACCATGTATTTAGACTTTAAAATTCTCTCAGCAGTGTTTTGTATTTTTCAGTCTGCAGGCTTTGCACATGTTTAAACTCCATGAATATTTCATGTCTTGTGTTATTATATACAGTCTTAAGTCCATTGTCTATGTCTTCATTCTTCATTATATTGCTCATCTCACTGGATAAAAATCCAATTGACTTTGTATATTAACATTATGTTTCGGGAATCACCCAGTCCAAGGATCTTTTTTTTTTTTTTTTTTTTTTTTTGCCCTTCAGGATTTTCTATGAATGCAATAACTTTCACTGTGAATAAAGTCAATTTATTCCTTCATTCGAAAAAAAAAAAACATATATTCCAATGCTTTAAAAATTTCATGAGTGTGACTCACGGAACACCAATCTAGCTTATTCAAGAAATAATTCTTGAAACTAAAATGGTACTGGGATTTATCAGTTTAAAGAATGGTCTTTTGTTGGTGACAATATCATGAAAATTCTCTTTATACTGCTAACCAACGCTTTGCAATACAAAAATCAAAAGAATAAAATAGTGACCAGTTTCCTTCTGAATAACTACAAATAGGCACAGGTAACTGTATTAGCCTATAGAAAGCAGACCTTTTTTTTTTGCTACTTATTAGAACATGAATAAAATTCTCTCCAAAATGTAATTTTCTGATGGCATGAGGCAATGGATACCCAAATTGAGAACCTCCACAACAAAGACCATTCATACATTGACCTATCCAGCAACTTAGCTTTGTACTTGATGATTAAGGCATCGATCCATAAAAACAGGCACAAACTATATTCACAGCATTAGTCATAGATTTATGATACAACTTGCTCTCATCACATTAAATACATGTTATGAACTAATAGTTCTCTTTGTAAGCTTTGGGGTGAAACACTGTCTCTTCTTGGGGTATATTAGATATACCCAGCAAGATAATCAGATATTGAAAACAGTTGAAAATAGTAACTCTATAGACTGTCTCTTGATCTTTTCCCAGGGAAATAAATGTACACGCACTTCTGTGGTACCTATAAAATACTGTTTTCTGGTCAAATGCTAGGTTTGTCAACTTCCGAGACAACCCACTGAGACTGGAAGTGACGCTTCCTCCCAGTGACTACACAGAAGGAGAGGAGGAACAGGAGCTGTTTGGGCTTCAGTTCATGCATGCATATATCCAAGAGTCACGGCGAACAGGTATGAGATTTATGTATTGTGGGAGGCCAGCTTCCACCTCTTAAAACAGTTCCTATGAGGAGGAGAGAGGGATAAGAAACTTTTAGATAGAAAGATATCGAAGAGGAGAAAGACAGAAATACAGGATAGCTTCGGGAGGACCTGCATCAAAACCCAACGGCCCCTTCTGTCTCTTCAAAAGGGCTTTTTATAACAATGCCAAGGGGCGGGGCAAAAGACCTCCCCCTTGCTAGATCAAAGCACACTGCACAACCAACCCTTCCAAACACCTGGTAACCACACCCGTGGTCAAATCATCCCTTTATGCAGCCCTGCTGGGTAAAGCAAGCTCAGATTCTCTGACCTTGAGTAATTTGGGCCTTGACAATATACAACACAGAGCTGGGTGGTGGTGGCACACACCTTGAATCCTAGTACCCGGGAGGCAGAGCCAGGTGGATCTCTGTGAGTTCGAGGCCAGCCTGGTCTACAGAGTGAGTTCCAGGACAGGCTCCAAAGCTACACAGAGAAACCTTGTCTCGAAAAATAAAATATATATACAACACAGATTAAATATTTTTGGAAGAGAATGTGTATACAATTAAGTTCTATCTTTCCATTAATTCTTTTATGGATTTCTCATTCTATCTTGTCTTTTCCATCAAATTGGCCAACACTTAAGAGGGGAAAATGAGTTTTGGCTCTGGTCATAATTTTGGTAACTACTAGGAGAGAAGCTGTAAAGATAGTCTTTCAAATGGAATCAAGGAAATACCTCCTTAGCTGCACTCGCTGCATAATCAAGTGAAGGAAACCGTACTTCTCCTTGTTTCCCTCTGTAAACATGATTCTCCAGTGCTGGGGCTCAAATCCACAGCTACAGCCCTGGCCTAGATTTTAATTCATTGATTTTATGTGTGTGGGCGCTTTGCCTGCATGCATGTCCGTGCAGCATGTGCATGCAGTACCTGCAGAATCCAGAAGAGGGCATCAGATGCCTTGGAACTGGAGTTAGAGAGTTGTGAGCTGCCATATGGGTGCAGGGAATTTAACTAGGTCCTGTGGAGAAGCAACCAGTGCTCTTAACCACTGAGCCATCTCTCCAGCCCCCCAGATTCTTTTTTTTTCTTTATTAAGAACTTTTCTACTCACTCTACATACCACCCACAGATCCCATCTCCTCCCTCCTCCCACCCCCCATCCCTCTCTCCCAAGCCACCCCACATCCCCATATCCCCCAAATCAAGGTCTCCCATGGGGAGTCAGCAGAGCCCAGCACACTGAGCCTAGGCAGGTCCAAGGCCCTTCCCACAGCACCAAGGCTGTGCAAGGTGTCACACCACAGGCACCGGGTTCCAGAAGCCTGCCCATGCACCAGGGACGGATCCCGATCCCACTGTCTGGGTGCCCCCCAAACTGTTCAAGCCAAACAACTGTCTTCCATATCCAGAGGGCCTAGTCCAGTCCCATGGGGGCTCCACAGCCACTATTCTACTGTTCATGGACTTCCACTAGTGTGACCTGTCATCTCTGCATGTCTTCCCATTGTGATCTCGATGTCCTCTTCCTGAATCCCTTCTCTCTCTCTCATCGATTGGATTCCCAGAGCTCAGCCTGGTGCCTGGCTATGGATCTCTGCATCTGCCTCCATCAGTCACTGGACAAAGGCTCTATGATAAAGAAAATAGAGCCCCCAGATTCTTAAAGAATCATTACTTTTTTCTTTTTAATCAAGTGGCAGACATGTCAGCTAGAGCATGAACACACCTTCCTCATCATTCTGTTTTTCTATAATCTACAAGGAATAATTTTAAAAAAGTTTGACTTGGGGGTGAAAAACATTGAGAACATGGACTTTATTCCACAGTTGGAATATGAGGCATAATATACAGATTACAAACACTTCATCTCATAATTTAGAATTAAACATTTCTACAATCAAGAAAAAAGTTTTAAAATTAAAACCAGAGGAATAAGGCAAAGGACACTATCTTGATAATAAAGGCAGTGAAATAACAGCATAGAAACAGAAACCCTGGCTTTGTAATTAGTACAAACGGAAAGAGCTATGGACGGAAAAGGGAGATTTTAACTCACTCCACGTACCAGTTACTTTGAAAAGGAGTGCAACCACAGTACTAGCCTGTCCTTTAGGGGACCCTCCCCTGGTATCCAGAGGCTGCTTAGCAATGTTCCCTTCAGGAGCCACCGGTGCTACTGTGGGTCGTGAAGACGAGCTGGGAATGGCGGGCAACAAAGTTCAAAATGGTTTGTGGCCTAGTTTTGGAAGAGAGGATAAAGCATCAGGGCCAAGCAGGAGACAGCATAATTACGGAAAACGGTGTTTGGGAGAATCTGTTTCCATCTGGGACAACTGAACAGCAGTATTCCACTGGGGAGTCAGTACTGGATCTGGATTGATAGGCAGAATGAGGAGGGAGAGAGACTGAGGAGGAGTTGCAACTTTAGCAGTGAGTTTATGTAGCTGTGGGACATGTACAATGCTGTAGCTATGGATGTGAAATTCAAGAAATAACGACTTAACAAGTGCTAGTTCACATTCTTTATGTGAGGTAAGAAAAGACAAGGTTGGAAAAGCTGTAATCTTGACTTAAGATCAGCACCGGAAGGACAAATTTATTTCCCTGTAATGTACTCAGAACCATTATCAGAACATGATTGAACTAAATGGCTCAGTATCAGTCTACTGACTGTATCAGTAGAATTCTGGGATGTACTGTATGTCTCCTGAAACACAACCAAGATTATACCCATTGTAGAATATTTTTTACTTATGGACATAGATTTTTTTTAAAAAACTTAATGTATGAGTGCTCTATCTGCATGTATGATTTTATGCCAGAAGAGGACATCAGATCCTACTAGAGATGGTTGTGAACTACCATATGGTTGCTGGGAATTGAACTCAGGACCTCTGGAAGAGCAGCCGGTGTGCTTAACCAATGAGCCATCTCTCTAGTCCTGGACATAAATTTTTAATGATACAAAACAAGTTTTGTGATAAAAATGACATTTATGACATAGGATAATTCTTAAACAATGAATTATCTTCATTTATGTTCTCTTGATTGGGGAATCTTGTAGCAGGAATCTTAAAGTCTTATTAATAAAATCAAACCTGAGGCCAGTTATTGGGGTGAATGCTGGAATATCAGAGAAGCAGAACAAGCCACAGCTACCTCACCTCGCCAGTTCCTCAGCCGATCCTGTTTCCTCAGAGTAGAAACCTCTCAGTCCTCATCCAGAATGAATCTCAGCTGAGCTGTTGCTCAAAAGCCTAAAGCTTAATCAGCCAAAAGCTTCTGGTTTCTGGTCCTCACGCCTTATATATCTTTCTGCTTTCTGCCATCATTCCTTGGGATTAAAGGCTCACTTTCTGGGATTAAAGGCGTGAGTCACCATGCCTGGCTGTTTCCTTGTGGCCTTGAACTCACAGAGATCCAGAGGAATTTCTGCCTCTGGAATGCTAGGATTAATACCACTGCCTATCCTCTTTGTTTAATATTGTGGCTGTTCTCTTCTCTGACCCCAGATAAGTTTATTAGCGTGCACAATATTTTAGGGAACACAATACCACCACAGAATCTGAGCAATTAACTTAAAAATAATGGTACGTTAACAATATTTGACAAAATACAAGAAAAAAAGCAACAACTTAAATAAAAAAATAAAAGCCCATTATATTAAAATAATCATGAATTACTATTATATCTAGTTAGTATTTACTCTATGCTTGGAACCATTCAAATTGGTTTACCTGTGATACCTCATGTGATATACACAACCTTGTGAGGTAGGTTTTATAACTGTTATCATCATCACTATTTTAAGGGGAGAAAATTGAGGCACAAAGAGATGAAGTAACTTGCCAGCTGAGGTGGTAGGGTTGGAATTTAAACCTAATTAAACACGAGATTCAATTAAAACAGAAAGGCCAGGAGGTAAGGGTGTTTGGCTTCTACTTAGTCATAGACCTACCAAATACAGATAGTGATCCCAGTGTCATTCTAATATCTAAAATCAGTGATTCTGAATCTTCGTCTTCGCATATTTACTAACAACTAAAATAATGTTTACAAATGTAGAAACAAATCCAAGGTAAGATGTGGAAGAGGAATATTCTTATGACATATATGGTTTAATATTTGCTTGGGCATAGAAACTACTTATCAGTTATGTAAAGCCTAAATGTGAGGTTTTGGTTTCATTATGTAATTTGTACTTTAATCCAAATTACTTTTTCTGCTGGCATGGGCACATGATTTTAATCCCAGCACTTGGAAGGAAGAGGCAGGGGTATCTCTGAGTTCCAGGCTGGCCAAGGATTAGCAAATGAGACCCTGTCTCATACAAACAAAAACTAATTATTTTCCCAAACAGGAGAAAACCTACTTATTTTTTTATAGTTACATTTATACATAAGAGGCTGATAAAAGATACTGAATTAACTTTAGAAGCTACATGCAACTTTCAAATTGGATTGGTGATTTGTTTACAAGCAACCTTCTTTAGAAGTTTGCACTAGCTAATTATCCAACAAAGACCTAAAGTAAGATTATTTTCCCCTTGAAATCATCTCTTCGGTTCTGGAGTCATGGACAGACTCTTGAGAGCACAAATCCAGGTATGGCTCTGGAACTTCGATGGTAATGTCATTTGCCAATTCCTACATTTCTAAATTTGTCTGCATTTGAGAAGATTGCAAGTATTCTTTCTAGACCCATTCTGAAAAAAGTCCCACACTCAGACTGACCCTTGTTGCGAACTGGCATTGGTTATTATAACTGGAGCTCAAAAAATAAAATATATCAAATAAAACCAAAGATAAATTTCCCAGAATACACTTAGTTTATACTGTAATTATATGTTGATGTATTATATGTGTTTCAGATGACCAAGTCAACGGTCTGACTCTGCCAGTCTCTATACACTCTGATGGATAAAGTAATTCAAAGGGCCCTGCTGAAAAGGAATACTTGGTGAATCCTCTGTTTGGACTTTGGAAGTAAAAAAAAAAAAAAAACAAAAAACACACGCACACACACACAAAAAAACCCAAAACAAAAAAAACCTGTTATTTATATTTTTGTGAATATAAAAATATAATTTAAAAGGAATGTAACTTTTTTGTTTGAGACAAGTGACGTTCACACTTCTTTTCTGTTACTGAGTTGCTTTCTGTGATGACAGATGAGCTGGTACAGCAGTTAGTAATACGTTCTCCAGAGACACCAACGGCTCTGTATAGTACTGTAAGGCAGGACGGAAGCCTTTCTGCTGTAAATACTGGAGTCGGCCTTGGTCAATCAGCAGTTTGCAAAGATGTCCTATATTCTTCTTTTCTTCAGCAGTAAGAGCTCTAAGGTGAATAAATACACAGAGAGTTAAAGCTTGTAAAAGTTCCTAAGAAGCTCGGTCACTGCCGTCCACTAGGAAGCTGCTAAGTAGCCGGCAGTACAGGTGCTATGTCTGCTGCTTCCCAGACTTGTCAAGACAAGATGATCGCAATTCAAACATGTTTTAGCCTGCTCCAAAATTAGATTGTAAACTGTACTTTCTGGACTAAATTGTTGATAGCAGTCATCTGAAAAAAGAATCCTTCTTCCTAATCAGTTTCACTTTCTATACTTGATCTTAGCCAAATGACTAAGAAGCAACAATTCAATTTCATTTTCTCTGGTATCTCTTACCCAAGGTCTGTAACAGTCTGAAAATATTAAAAGGAAAATTCCCAGAATGAACCACTGGCAATGCCATCCTTACCCAACTCCTTCCTACCTGGGGAATGAACCTTTGCCTAGCACATGATCATGTCTAGAATATCCACACTGCATGTTACTCACTCACTAGTCACTGTGGAGCCATCTTGGTTATTAGATCAACAGGGGAGGTAACTGCAATGCTAACACGCAGAGTTCTGTTTTATCTAAGGTTCTAGGCATCTGTGGGAGGTCCTGAAATGCCACCCACAGGAGCCGACAAGGGGGCTCCTTTATGGTAATAAAATACTCACTCCCCTTCAGCGTGGTGCATTATAAAAGTCATCACTCACCCAGGCACACTATCAGTGCTGCCATCTGGGAGTCTGTCTCCTCCGTCATCATGCTCTTCGTTGTCATAATTCTGATCATCTTTTCTCTTTGTGGTGATATCTGAGGCTCCCAAAGATGTCCTTCTCATTCCACATGTTGCCCAACTACTCATTCTCTGGAAATAGTAGAACTCCTCCGGCCCAAGGCCCAGAGCCCTGAAATACTCTTTGCCCACATAGTGTCTCCAGTCACACCTGTGGTGACAGCAGAGTGCAATGACAATGCCAGCCACAGGGGCCCACGTCTCCGGGGCATTTGCTTCATTTTCTTCCTTGGACAAAGTGCTACTTTCCTTGTCTCTTTTATCGTTCTTTACGCGTTTGGCTAAAGGCTCTTCATTCCTTTCCTCAAAACTGGCAGCATAGGTTTCAACCAAACATCGTAATGCAAGATCTGCAAACACAATTATGTGGCCCCAAACCACGTCATCTTTAAGAGTGTTCTTCAGATTTCTTAAGCAGTATGGTTAAAAACAAAACACAACACAACAACACAAACCAGAAAAAATCTACTTAGCTATATATTGTAACAATTCTATCATATACTCTAAATTTTTCTCAAATTTGCCTTATCTTAATTTTTCTAGTGATTTATTTTTCATAAAGCCACTTTCTAATAAAATTAAAGCAAGCTTAAGCCTTATGATTTGAAATTTTTCTGTCCAACTATTTGCATTGTCTTTCCTTTCTCCCATCCCAGCTAAAGTTATGGTTATGAGCTTAAACTCCAGAGAAAGAAACAAAGGAAGGGGCTTTCACTTAGAATCCTGACCCAGGTTCGAAAAGCTAGTTTTGTGTGTGTGTGTGTGTGTGTGTGTGTGTGTGTGTCTGTATCTGTTTTGTTTTGAGACAGGGCCTGTATAGGTGATGCTGGTCTCAATCTCCTGATCCTCCGCTTCTATCTCCTGGTGTTGCAGCTCCAGGTGTGTGTCAGCACACCTGGCTAAGATGCTAGTCCTGAAACGTAGGCTGGTCACAACAAATGATGATGAATTGGAAGATGAGCAAAGGAGATTCCAACGTGGAAAGCAGGCCAATAGCTTTCCTGTACAGAGGCATTTGTTCAGCAAATCTCTGCTAACTTCCGTGCATGTACACAACACTGAGGATGCAATGAATAAAACTGCCATACTAGGGGCTGAAGAGCCGGCTCAGTGGTTAAAAGCACTTGCTGCTCTTGCAGGGCACCTAGGTTCGGATTCCAGCCCACACAGGGTGGCTTAAAATTGTCCATAACCCTAGTTCCAGGGGATCTAGCACCCTCTTCTGACCTCTGTGGGCACTGGGTATGCATGCATTATACTTCCATACATGCAGACAAATATTCATACACATAAAAATAAATAAAAAAATAAGTCTCCCCCCCCCCCAAATTGCCGCACAGATAGCTGGCAATATGGGAAAGATCACAAATGTATGCTGTACAACTTATATTTTATCTGATTAGATTGTCTTATCATACTCTAATTAACTAAAAACAAATGCTATTCTAAAATTTGTTGCCCTGCGATATAAAAATGGATATACTTTATGTATCTTTATAGTAAATTTTATCATGCCAATAAACATTACTGGTAACTATTATTTGGATAAAGTGATAGCTAATTTGGTAGTTTCTGTTTTTTTCGAGACAGGGTTTCCCTGTGTAATAGCCCTGGCTGTCCTGGAACTTGCTGTCAACCAGGCTGGCCTCAAGCTCACAGAGGGCCAGGATTAAAGGTGTGCACCACCATCGCCCAGCTAACTTGATAATTTCATAGTCAGTCTGTGTCTCTCTGTCTCTGTCTTTCTCTCTTATACAAGAGAATGGGTCTCACTATGTTGCTCAGATCGTGGATGAACTCAAGTGATCATTTAACTCAAGTGATCCTCCTGCCTCAGCTTCCTGAGTACAGGTATGCCACTTCATCCAGGTCTATCAACTTATTTTCTAACAAAATATATTTGCTGTTTTACTTACATTTGACATAATTTTAAGAATTATAATCAGAAAAATTATTAAAAAGATTAAGTTATTTCAGAAACAAAGAGAACATTAGCAGTCTCAAGCTCTTTCATAGTGGCCTTAAGGACTTGCTTCTTAGAAGGAACAAGGAGGCAGCAAGCTGGTGGCCTAAAGATCATTCATTCAAATATTCAGTGCTTGCTATGGAAGAGTCCTTCATTGTACTAGCATCTGTACTGCTCTTGAAAAGAACCCCAGCACAGCAGTGTAATTAGATATACAGACAGATAACTAGGAGACAAGGAAAAGCTATGCAGAGCATATCCTGATGACACTAAGGAAGCCCCAGAGACGTGGAGAAAGCTGAGCTCAAGGATGAGCAGACACTGGGCCAGTTCTTTCAAATGGCTGGAGCACAGAGAAAGTAGACATGGTCCATGTTGGTCAACAGTAAACCTAGATACAGACTGACGGAGAGTTTCAGGAAGGGGAAGGACACAGTGTCACAGAAGGGTCTAGATATCAATTCTTCAAGCACAGGAGCAGAGAACGATGGGATGGACGGAAGGAACTGGTGAGGGAAAGCACTAAGAGAGAAGGACACTGAGTCTCAGGAAGAGAAGGCAACTGCAGCAGTGGAGGATTCAGACCGAGTGAACAAAGGGAGAGCGTATGGGAGGTGGGAAGCAGCCTCCGCAGGGCTAGGTTTGGAGAAGCACAGGTTAGATGGGAAGAGACAAGGGTGTGTGCTTCCCTCCCACCCCAGGTTGAACTGGGTTACTCTGGAAAGCTTTTCCATGGGCTAAAAGAGAGGCCTAAGTGCCGCCCCCCTCCAGGCGGTGGGGCCATCTAGGCTACAGCTCAGTGTACTAGTTTAGAGGTGACCGTGTGTCCGGCTCACCTGTTGCGACCCCACACAGATGCTTCCCAATTCCTACCACAGGCAGTCTTCCTTCTCTGAGCACAGGAACCCTGTCTGAGATAAAAAGAGTAAGAACTACGTTAGTTGCTAATGACAGCAAGTATTAATGTATCCTTCCAAAAGGACAGATTGTAGAATCTTTGGATTTTAGGGATGAAGGATGTGAAAACAAACAGGTCTCACAGAATCTAATATACATCCTAAGAATGTGTCTATGTTTAGCATGTGACATAGAAGAATATTCAGCTAAACAAACAAACAAATTTCCTGTCTCATTATGTAGTACTGGCTGGCTTGGAATTTACTTTGAAGTCTGGGTGATCTGCCTGCCTCAGCCTCCCAAGTGCTGGAAATACAGGAGTGCATACCATACCTGGTTTCAGTTAAGCAGAAGAAAATACAATGATTTATATTAAACAAATGCTTGGTTGCTTCTCAAGACTAGAATAAAATAGTGGACGGAAGTAATTGTAAATGTTTGCATTATTTTCTTTTTAAACACGAAAGAGCTAGGTGTGGGGGTGCACACCTTTAATTCCACCACTCAGGAGGCAGAGGTAGGAGGATCTCTTGTGAGTTTGAGGCCAGCCTGGTCTATAGTGAGTTCCAGGATAGTCAGGACTACATAGTAAGACCCTGTCTCAAAATACTAGAGAGAGAGAAAAGGAAAGGAAAATGTCAGAAAAAGTAAAAAGGCACAAAAGAGGATGACCGAGGGGCATGAGCATGTGTATGCATTTGTGTTCATGTGTGCTGGTGTGCATGCATGTGTGTGTGTACATTTGTGTCCGTGCTCGTCTGTGGGTGTGCATGTGTGCATGTATGTGTGTCTGTATCGAATGTTAATTCCATAGCAATAAGTTACTTTCTTTGTGACACAATTCTGAGGACCCATCTTCTATATACTAGCTACCCAGAGAATTTTCTCACTTCCTGTAATGATTTTGACAGTCATGTTAACTATAGTCTGAAGGCTAGTTCTGTATTTTAAAAATGGCGGGAAGGAGTCACACCATACAACAGGGCCCACTTGGGAGGTTTATTGAGGGGAGGGGAGAAGGGGGCAGAGACCAGTCCCCGGGGATGAGAGTGAAGGAAGAGAAAGAGAAAGAGACAGGAGGTGTACAAGGCCCACCTTTTAGAAGGAAACGTAGCAAATGGGCACAGAGGTTGCTCTTAGTGGCTGTAGCGGAGGTATATCCTGTCAGGACCCTAAGGGCAGGCCAGTACAGATGCCTAAATGCTACCAAGTTTGAACACTCCAAGTTAATATTTTTAAGACAAGGTCTCACTATGCAGCCTTGGCTGGCCTGGATTGTACAGAGATCTGCCTGCCTCTGCATCTTGAGTGCTGGGATTAAAAGAGTGTACCATTAGCCGGGTAGCTGTAGTGCATGCCTTTAATCCCAGCACTTGGGAAGCAGAGGCAGGAGGATCTCTGTGAGTTCCAGGCCAGCCTGGTCTACAGAGCGAGATCCAGGACAGGCACCAAAACCACAAAGAGAAAACCTGTCTCGAAAAACAAAACAAAAACAACAGAAAGAGTGTACCATTATACCTGCCTTACTCAAAATTAATTTTTAAAAGTACAAGGAAGCAATATATAAGGATTTATCAAAAGTTTTGAACTTCCTGCATATCATACTACACTTATAGTTGATATAACAAAATTTTTTTTCTTTTTTGATACAGGGTTTCTCTATGTAACAGCCCTGGCTGTCCAGAAAAGAAACTCACTCTGTAGACCAGGCTGGCCTTGAACTCACAAAGATCCGCTTGCCTCTGCCTCCTGAGTGCTGGGATTAAAGGTCTATGCCCCTGCCACCACTGCCCTGCCCTGCCGGCAACAAAACAACTTTTAAGGTTTCAATCCTAACTCCATTTCTGTTTCCTTAGTTACAAACACTTGTATTAACAAAACACTAGTGTTGTTTCTTCTTCCTGAAGCACAGGTCTGTGGGAACAGAATTCTAAGCGGCTCCAGAGTCTGAATGTCTGACCTATGACAGAGCAGAGGACAGATCTGTGACTTACTCAGACACAAGTGTTGAATATCGATCTGAAGTCTTTCAAACACTGAGCTCTCTTTTCTGTGTTTACCATCTACCTGCATAAACAGAACATTACTGAATCAGCACTCTCAATGTTGAAAATAAGCTTTATGAAAATGTTTCCATTTGTTTTCAAATTTCAGAGTAAATATACCTAATTTTTACAGTTAATGAACTGTAACTGTAAAAAAGAATGAACAACAACTTAAAGGTTTATATTTTGGATGAAAACTCAAAAATAACAACACCCATTTTATAAGGCTAGAAATTCTATCAGTTATTACTATTACATATACATATTATTTCTGTGTGTGTCTGTCTCTCTCTCTCTCTCTCTCTCTCTCTCTCTCTCTCTCTCTCTCTCTCTCTCTCTCTTTCTCTCCCTCTCTTTCCAGACAGGGTTTCTCTGTGTTGCCCTGGCTCTCCTCAAACTCACTCTAGGCCAGGCTGGCCTTAAACTCAGAGATTCACCTGTTTTTTTTCTCAGGGCCTTATGAATACTAAACAAAATATCTCCCACTAAGCTACAGCCCCAAGCTCTCAGAAACATTCGGACAGGAAACTAAACAGGCAAGAACTGAACTCATGGTTTTCCTCCTCAAGGATACCCTGTATCTAATTAGGCCAGAAACCATCCCAGAGTACTGTCTCTGAAAAACAATGAATAATAAATCAGCAAGTCCCATGACTCCCGACATTTTACATCTCTCATTCTTTCTTTCCTCTACAGCCCACAGAATGGCCTTTACTCTCCAGTACATTTCTTACTTATATTATTGAATAAGAATTTTCATATTCTCAATCTCCCTATTTTTAGTCGAAAACTTCTGAAATAGTTTTAGTGTTGTTAGGACAGAATCTGGAATACATTTTTATATGTGTGTGCGTGTGCCATCTGTGTGTGAGGAGGGTCAGAGGTGGTGTTGGATCTCCTAGAGCTGGAATTACAGGATGTTGTGAGCAGCCTAATATTGGTGCTGTGAATCAAACTCAGATCTTCTGGAAGTCCAATAAGCACGCTAAACCACTGAGCTCTATGGAAAGTTTTAAAATCATTTTTTAAAAAACCTCCTCCAAAGACTCTCGACGACTGAGGTTAGTTCTCTACCTTCCTGCTCCTGCAGCACTGAGTACCGCTCAGTGGTATAACATACTTAGATGGAGAACTAAAATGCTGCATGGGCCGGGCGGTGGTTGGCGCACGCCTTTAATCCCAGCACTCAGGAGGCAGAGGCAGGCGGATCTTTGTGAGTTCGAGGCCAGCCTGGTCTACAGAGCGAGATCCAGGAAAGGCACAAAGCTACACAGAGAAACCCTGTCTCGAAAAACAAAAAAAAAAAAACAAAAAAAAGAAAAAAAGAAAAAGAAAATGCTGCATGGAAGCCTCTTTGAAGCAAAACCCAAGTCTTCCACTGTATCTCTAACTCAGAACAGACAAAACGGACAACAGGAGACTTTCCACACCAGCTTCCTTTCCTGGTTCATACCGCCACATTCTTCTTCATGCATTGTATTTCCATCACACAGAAATGCTTCCTGTTATTCCGGCCATGGGGTCACACTGTTCCTATTTCCCAGAACGATTCTCACACTCTATCTAGCAAATGTTGATTCATTTTTCAAGATGGTCACAAGCACCGCCTCTTCTGCATGCTCATTCTCCACTGCCTCTCTGTAATAAAGCCTATCAAGCCTTCCTTTGAACGCATACACACTCTGCAGAACGTCCCTTCTTCAACACTTTCCTTAGTATTCACCTAGCTCTCTTCTAAACACACGAAAGAGCACAGCTGCCTCATCAGTATCTATCTGCATATACAAAGTGCCTATTGTGGTGTCCAAGAATATGCCTAAGAAGTATATAATGAAGGAAGAGTCTGTCAGCAGTGGCAAATGTAAGGTTAGGACGTGGCTTAATTCCTAGCTGAAGCCTGGTTCTGCTCAGATTTTCTTGTCTCTGCAAACAATTTTAAGAACTCAGATCATGGACTATCAATATTTAAATTCAAAATTTTATCTTTAGTTTAACCAGTACAATTAGAACCAAACAAATAATAATAGTAAAAATTATACTCAAATATATAAAAAGGAAATTCATTTGAAGAGACAGGTTCTATTATTTTTCCCTACAGGAGACAATATGTTTGGTTATTCAGTTCCTACAGAGGCTTCACTTACCTTGAATCTTGTGGTCACTTTCTCTACCAGGATGAAGTGAACGTTTTCAGCATCTTTTAAGGCAATATCAACCCAGTGAGATAACTTCCCCTTTCCTGCTCCAAACTCAACAAAGCATCTTCTTGGACCAAGTAACTTTAATTTTTCAATGTTACCTAAAATAGAAGCCTGCAAACTCCATAGGATTACTTTATAAACTAAAGCAAAGGGATATGACTCAAATTCGAAAACAGCAAGGTAATCTCTACACAAGGCAGAAAGTTTTCACTGATTTCTGAATGGTTAAGACATTTTTTTCTTTTTGCTTTAAAACAGTATCTGTTTTCAGGATTATATCCACGCTGAAATTTTTCCTTTATGTTCACATATAATTTTGAATGAAGGTATTTTGGTTATTTTTTAAAAAACTAAGTAATTACACTCAGAAAAGAAGGTTATTATATATTTTTTAATTGGTTTTTTTCAAGACAAGGCTTCTGTGTTAGCTCTGGCTATTCTGGAACTCACTCTGTAGACCAGGCAGGCCTTGAACTCAGATCTGCCTGTCTCTGTCTCCTGCGTGCTAGGATTAATGGCATGTGCCACCACACCTAGCTAGAATGTTAGCTTTTTAAAAATGACTTTTATTTGTTGTGAGCATACACACACGTGTATGCTGTAGAAGTCAGAGGACAGTTTGCAAGAATCGATTCTCTCCCGTTACCAGGTAGGTTAAGAAGACTGAACTCAGGCCATCAGACTTGGCAGCAAGTGCCTTTACCCGGTGAGCCATCTCATCAGCCCAGAATGTTAGCATTGAACATATGAACAAGAGTTGAGTTACTGTGGTCTAAGCTTACCTGCTGTTTCAGGTGCTTGACTGCACAGTCACCATTTTTAGGGTCATTAAGGGCATCATGTAATGCTGGATGGGACATAATGTGATCTTCAAGTGTAGAATTCAAGCCTGTGCCAAAAAGAAACATGATAGCTTAAGCAGCCAAACATGAACTATGGGACTCTGAACAATGGAACAGAAGCTATCAATTCACATAGCACCTATTGCTTCTCAAATAATTGAACTTGCAACTTTAGGCAGACTTACCTTCACTTGCTTTTCTCAATTTCTTAATTAAGTTTTCCAACTGCTCTTCAGATAGAGAAGAAAATGGAACCTGTATACAAAAATAAAACTAAATAATGTAGCCAAAACATGCCTTAAAGTTCCATAACAGCGAATGAGTAGAAACTAACACTGGGCAGTCCCCATTGTTGTGGAGTATTCCTTTACACTGTGTGAAGATGTGTCAGTGTGATTGGTTTAATAAGGAGCTGAATGGCCATTAGCTAGGCAGGAAGAGGTTAGGGGGACTTCTGGGGACACAGAGATCTGGGAAGAAGGGAGGGCCACCATCCAGATGGAGAGGAAGGAGGATGGGCAAATAGAGATGAGGTAACGAGCGTGTGGAAAAATGCAGATTAAAAATATGGGAGGCTGGAGAGATGGCTCAGAGGTTAAGAGCACTGGCTGCTCTTCCAGAGGACCTGAGTTCAATTCCTAGTACCCACATGGTGACTCCTGACCATCTATAATGAGATCTGGTGCCCTCTTCTGTCCTGCAGGCACACATGCAGGCAGACTACTGTATATGTAATAAATTAAAAAAAAAATCTTCCAAAAAAAAAAAATAAAGGATAATTTAAGTTATAGGAACTAGTTAGGAGTAAGCCTAAGCTGAGGCCATGCTTTTATAATTAATAAGTCTCTGTGTTGTTTTTAGTGAGCTGGCAGCCCAAAGAAAAACCTGCCAATACCCTATGGCAGTTTAAGATCTTCTTCCTGTTAAGTCTTGGTTCCTAGGCTGCTATCGGAACTGCCCAACTGTGAGGGCTCCACTCCGTCTCTGCCAATAACTCCCCCATTCCCTCAGAGTCAAGAAGTCGGGGCTCTTAACAGAACCAGTTTGCTGTTTGCTATGGGACATATGCTGGTCTGGGAACTAAAGTCACTAACAACTGTGATTCTACAGAAAATACACCCTAACGTCAAAACAACAGATCTTTCCAAATGAGAGTGGGGAATGGTCAACGTACAAGGAGATAGCTTCGAAATACCACTTGGAGTTAAATATTAAATAATGTACTTACTAATTGCTCAGGAATTTCCATTTCTTCCTTTAATCCTGCATTTACATCTTGAGTAAAGAAATCCTTGACAAAAACAAAGTCATAACATGTTATTAATATGAAGTTCACAACAATTAAGCTAAGAACTTCTTCTTCCCTCATCCTCCTACACCGTCATCCTTGTCTCTCATTCAGTCCCCGAATGTTACTGCACCAATACCATGGTGACTGGTGTGCTGGGTACCAGAGTTACAACAGAAGAGACCAATCTCTACCTTCATCGAGCTTCAAGAGAGGGAGTTGTACGAAGAAGCATTTACAATCTTTAATTTCAGTAGTTACCTGTTTACAGGACAGACTGAGGATTGTGCTAATTTTGCCTTATGGCATTAAAATAAAAACAAGATTTTTTTATATATAAATATTTACACTTTTATATTTATATATAAACATACACACAAATATATATATTGTCCATTGAGGATGCAGCCTAACCCCAAATGGACAAAACACAGCTATTCTAATAAGTCTGATTTATTTTAAAATGTTAAATACCAGAAGTAAAAACGTCCTGTGACATTTAAACTAACAAAATGAGATCTTATTAGTCCACCTGCAAGTACAGGAATTTTAGGTGAAGATCCAGTCAACCCTGTCTACTAGAACTTCCTGCGATGATGGGAATGTTCTACATCTTCCCTGACTGACATGGCAGCCACTAGCTGTAAAACATGGCTATGGGGCTGAGAATTACACGTTCAATTTCATTCAGTTTTAATTATCTCAAATTCCAGTAGTCACTAGTAGCTAGTGGCTACCCTACTGGATGGTACGCACACACAGGCATGAAATACTATTATTTCTATAAACCTTGCTTTAAAGCATCTCTTGTGGACACTGTATTCCTAACAGTTACGGACTTTTGTTAAAAAGATGGCAGAGGCTAGCATCTTGACTGTGTGAAGATATCTTTTTTTCTTTCTTTTTTTGTTTTTTTTCAACACAGGGTTTCTCTGTGCGGTTTTGGTGCCTTTCCTGGAACTCACTCTGTAGACCAGGCTGGCCTCGAACTCACAGAGATCCACCTGGCTCTGCCTCCCGAGTGCTGGGATTAAAGGTGTGTGCCAAAACTGCCCGGCAAGACACTCTTATCTTAAAAGGTTTTGAAAAGTGCTCGGGGTAAGCTGTATTGTGGATTGGATTTTTCTTTTCTTTATTTTTTGAGACAGGGTGGTCTCTTTATGTAGCTCTGACTAGGCTGGAACTTGCTCTGTAGAGCAGGCTGGCTGGAAACTCACAGAGATCTTTCTGCCTCTGCCTCCTGAGTGGTGGGATTAAAGGCCTGTGCCACCGTACCTGGGTTCAGTTTGGCTTTTTATAAGTTAAAATTATCTATACTATAGAGTAATTTATCAAAATACAATTTTTATTTGGTAAACAAAAATTTCATAAGTTAATAAAGAGCTTGCTAAACTCAAGCAAAACAATGCTAAGACCACCTAGACTCCGGGGTTCACATTATCCAGGTTTACCGGACAGACAGACAACCACTGCTCTGGTTCTTTCCCATGCCATCACCCACTGCTTTCCTCCTCTTCTGCCACGTGTCTTCACACACCCAATGTGTCTTCACACACCCAGTGTGTTTTCACACACCCACCGTGTTTTCACACACCTACCGTGTTTTCACACACGCAGTGTGTTTTCACACACCCACCGTGTCTTCACACACCCGGCACCTCGGCGGTTACAGCATCTGAAGTTAGGGAACTGCTTTCCTCTCAGCGTTTTCCCAGAACACATACCCCATCCTTGCCTACTGAAACGTGACCCGTAGGTGAGGAGTTACTTGAAGTAAAACCTTCTCACGCCCTCGAGGGCTGCTTGGGTGAAAGCACCAGCTAGCTCTTCATCGGGTCCACCAGGTCTGACGGGAACTGAAGCAGGATAAGACTTGCTGTCTCTGCTCTCTCTGTCTGAGCTACTTCAAACTCTGCTAAGAGCCGTGCTAAACTCGGACATGTTAATCATTCTGGGTTTTTCCATCTATCTAATGTAAGGTTGCTTTACCTCATCTCTTTTTATTCCCCTCCAAGAATGAAGACACCAAGAGAAAGTAAGATACAGTGAAAATCCCAGGAACAGGGAGTCCTGGAGGCAGGTTACTCTAAGGCAGCAAAGGAACATGATCTTACGGGGCCTGGGATGGCGCCAGAACAGTACCACCAACAGTACTGCCTTCTTCAGGAATAAGAAGTTCCCTGAGCCAGGGGGACCCACAGAAGCAGACCGTAGGGAAGGGTTGGTCCGGCCCGTCTGACCGAGCCTGCTTCTCGTCACTCCTGGTGCTCCTCCCCTATGTAATCCGGACTACCAGTACAGAACACAAGACAGGACCGTAATCTCGCTGCTTTTTTCATTAGGACCATACTAAAAAAATTATTTTCTAACTTCGTCACAACTTGATTGGCCTCTTGAGGTGGTGGATGGTTAGTCTGGTCCATTGGTCTCCCAGAGTTAGGCCTCTGTGATCAGTCTAACGTCTCTTTACTAAAAGAGCTAAGTCCTAAAGCGCTGGATGAGGAGGCATTGTTTTTCTTGTATGTTAACTTAATGTTAAAATACCCTGTTTTTCCTTTCATAGAGGATCTCACACTGAAGCTCAATTGGTAGCCGAGGCTGGTCTAAAATTTATTATGTTGTCCAAGCTGGCTCTGAACTCATAGTGATCCTCTAGCTTAATCCTCCCAGGTGCCAGGATTCCAGGTGTGCGCTGTCACTGATGGCTACAATACTTTTAGCTCATAACATGAAGCACAGTGGTTCTCAGCCGGGAGACATGGGACAATGCAGAAGGACAGCTGCTGCCAAATGACTGGGAAGAGGGCTGGGAGCAGTATGCAAGCCTGTGATCCCAGCACTCAGAAGATAAGGGGCTGAGGCAGGTGGATCTCTGCAAGTTTGAGGCCAGCCTAGTCTACATAGTAAGCTCCAGGTTTACACAATGAGACCCATTTTGTTTTTGTCCTCTAAAAAACAAAACAAAAAAACCAAAACAAAAAAAGCTCAAAAGTGCTCCTGGGAGTCACTTCAGCTATGAGTAGTCTTTGGGTTTGCTACAAGTCTCACTGCGCTCCAGACTATCCTTTCAAGACCAGCTGTAGACCAAGCACCTTAGAAGACAGAAATGGCATTTCCTTCTAGACCCCATGGCAGGCTTACTTACTATACAGTATAATAAAGAAAAATGTCTACCTACGGAACACAGGGGAGGCAGGTTTGCTCACTGCCCCAGTTTTGGGGGGAAAGTTATTTCCTGAAGATGGGGTTCTTCAACTTTAATATAAGTCACTGCATATGCAGTAGTCCCAGCAGAGCCCCAGAGTTGAGTCCACAGGCTTTGAGAGATAATGATTATTGACACGAGTAAGAAGTCCCTGCTGCTTAATAAGGTGAATATTAAAAATTTCAGACTCTGGTTGCAGCCTAGTGGTAGAGCCCCTGATTACAGGCATTTCAGCCTTTGTCTGTCTCTGACCCAGGAGTCTAGTAACTTCTGCTGGCATCCATAAACCTTCGACAACTAACTTGTGACAAATATGGTGTGTGCTCTTTGTTATTTACTCCCAATAAAATGAACATACGTTGTCTGACAACTTCTTTATCTTTAGATAGTTATAGATACATATCCATACACGTGAATTTTATTGATCCGTTGATAGCTGATGGCCAAATCTTTACTCTATGTGTTCAACATTTCACTTTGTATCATTAAAACGTTTCTATTCTTATTTTAAATTTCTTTAAAAAAAATCAGTTTTCTATTATATACCTGAGGTTCACAACACGATGCTGGGCAGTGCTGGCACATGCCTTTAATCCCAGCACTTGGGAGGCAGAGGGCAGCCTGGTCTACAGAGCAAGTTCTAAGATAGCCAGGGCTGCTACACAGAGAAACCCTGTCTCAAAGAACCAAAACAACAACAAAAAAAACCCAACATGATATCTTGGGGTACGCATTGTAAAATGCTTTGTATCACGAAGTAAATTAACATACTTACCATTCTATGTAGTTATATCCTCACCCTATTCTATTTTGCTACCAAACGGAAATCTGGATTTTTAGCCCTAGCTTGGGTGAACACCATGAAAGACTCATATGGACTGGTGCTAGCTCAAATTCACTATCTCTATACTGAGTCTGAATCTCAAAGAGGCCCAGCAGTTAGTCTTTACAACCTTAATTCTAAACTTTTACCTCTGATTCCAAATCTCTTGCTGCACCATCACCCCCTGGATTCAGCTATTAAGCTGGGTGTGGTGGCATATACCTATCACCTTAGCACTTGGAAGGTAAGGCACAAGAAATGTTTGAGATGGACTGAAGACCAGCCTGGGCAATACACTCCTACCTCAAAAGCAAATACACAACCAAAAATAAAACGTGACAAAATTCTGGGCTGGTCAGGGTGGCACACACCAGTAATCTCAGTACTTGAGAAGCTAAGGGAGGAGGGTCTCAAGTTTGAGGTCAGCCTGGGCTACAAAGTGAAAGCCTGTCTCTAATCTAACCAAAAAAACAACCCAAACTAACAAAACACAAGAACAAGAAAGAAGAAAAGGGAAGGCAGGAGAAGAAGGGAAGAAAAGTACAGCTACCAAATGAGAACTTAATTACATTTGCCAAATTCAACCTGCACCCCATAATACTATGTAGTATGTGTATATAAACATCGCATACCACACATTTCCAACACTTACAGGCTTTGGCTTCTCTCTTGAGTTACATTTTTTTAAATGTTTTGCTAGTTGGTCTTCATATACTGTACTAAATAAAGAGAAAAATTGAGAGAAAATCTTAAATGAGCCTTGTGAAGTTACTGTTTCTAGTACATCACACACACTCAGGCACACATGCACATATAGGTGCATACACACAACCCAAACAACAACAAAAACACTTGTCTGACCCCATACTTACTGTTTTGGATCTAAAGGACACAAGATTCTTTTCCGAGCATTTTCTTCCTAATAAATTAAAAAGGATACTTTGATTTATATATCAAGTTTATCACATTCAGATGTTAGATAAACCCACAGTGCATCTCTATTCCCAAAACAAGGCAAGAAAACTTTAAAAGGACATAATGAAAAAATAAGCAAGATCAAGTCATGTTGGAAACAATAAAGAAAAACAATCTGTCACAGGTTTCTGTATAAGAGAACAAATACTGTTTTGACCTACTTATATAATTTTGCATCAGAGATAACAACTGTTAAAAATGGGTGCAGTTATTATATGCACCACTAAGAAAAGATGTTAACCATTTACTTCAGATTAACCAATAAAATACTGTATAATATTCATCATGTACAAAATGATCTTTTGAAATATATATAAAATAGGTATCAAAGCTAAATTGTGCTAACTAACATACATATTACTTGAATACTTACTCATTTTGGAAAATGTTGCCCATTTAAATTTATGTTGATTTAAAAATGTATATTTACCTCTAGGTTGTTAAAATATGGGGAAAAGCTAGACATGGTGGAACATACTTTGAATCTCAGCACTCCAGAGGAGAGGCAGGCAGACTGCAAGTCAAAGGCCAGCCAGGGTTACATACTGAGACCTTGTCTCAATAAATATAGAAATAAAATATGGGAGAAAGTATGTCAGGAAAAATGAGGCATGGCACTTTAACATTTTAGAATAGGTTATATTCACTGGCTTTGCAACTTTTCAGTATGCTAGTTACAATATTCTGAGTTATACACATTTAACTAACTATAGGTACTGGGAGAAAAGAAAGGAAACCAGTGAACATTGGCAGTTCTACTCTACAGACCCTATGAAGGAAACATGATGTACAATTATTAAAGCCAGAGGCCAGCAGGACTGCTTAGGTATGATTCTCAGTTCTAGCTATTGGCTGCTAGCTCTCCCTACAGGAACTCACTGCTTCATGTGAAAGATGAGAATGATAGTGTCATTTACTTCCTAAGGTTTATGAAAATTGAATTTTTAAAAGCAAAATAACAACCCTGCTTAGTATAGTTCTAGCCACACAGCAAAAGCTGAATAAGTATTTACTCTTAATTTTTTCTCAGTTTTATTTATTTCAATTAATTTCAGCATGTTCATGAATTTATGCACACTGAATTTTAGGGAAAGTTAAAATTATTCAGTGTTTTAAAACTATTATTTCTTCCTCATCTACAGATTTTAAAACAATTTCCAGTTTGGTTCTTTGGTGGAGACTAGCTACTTGGGAAGTTGAGGCAGGAGAATCTCTGAGATCAGGAGTTCAAGACCAACATGGGAAATATAGGAAGATTCCTGCCTTAAAAACAAACAGGCGGTGGTGGCGCACGCCTTTAATCCCAGCACTCGGGAGGCAGAGCCAGGCGGATCTCTGTGAGTTCGAGGCCAGCCTGGGCTACCAAGTGAGTCCCAGGAAAGGCGCAAAGCTACACAGAGAGACCCTGTCTCGAAAAACCAAAAAAAAAAAAAAACAGGAAGCCGGGTGGTGGTGGTGGCGGTGGTGGTGGTGGCGGCGGCTGCGCACGCCTGTAATCCCAGCACTCGGGAGGCAGAGGCCAGCCTAGTCTACAGAGCTAGTCCAGGACAGGCTCCAAAGCTACAGAAAAACCCTGTCTCGAAAAACCAAAAAACAAAACAAAACAACCAAACAGGAAAATTATCATTCAAAGTAAGTAGGGCTCTATTCTAACTTGCAAAGCCCAGTCACAGAACACACACACACACACACACACACACACACACACACACGAGCATTTTTAAAATATATTATTTGAGTTTAGAAACAATGTATATCATGTACTATTGTTATTGAGATGTTTTCTTTTTTGGTGTAGAGAGGGATGAGACTGTCCTGTGATTTGTAGGTTAGCAATGTCTGTTCTCTATCCACTAGAAGCCACTAACATATTTCACTTAAAATCGAAATGTCTGTGACATTACCAAGTGTCTGCTGGGGATCCCTCCCCCCCCACAAAAAAATACCAAAAACCAGTGCACTTTGCTTTCAACTTTGAAGTTGTTATGTGCATTATTTTTTTTTCCTTCTCCGTCCCAGAAAAATAATTAAGAGTCCATAAGGTACTTCTTGGTGACGTCTAAATAAGAAAATTTCAAAGTTTCTTCCTGATGCATGCACAAGTGGTTATCGTTCACAAAACAATAGCTAAAGCCCAGTTACTAAGACCTAGTGACTTCAAACACGACTCTGTAAAAATAATCACTTCCCACGAGGACAAGGAAGGATGGGTATACAGATGTCTGGGACAGCGAGCATCTCAGCGGGCGCGTTAGTTCAAGAAAACAATGCTTCCCAGGAGGGCTCATCACGGCTCCACGCGGAGGTCAGAACTGCCATTTACTTAAGGAAAAGCTGGGGAACCATGGGACAGAAGCAGGAACCTGTCACAGGGGGGCGAGGCCGGGTGCCAGCACCCACAGACCCGGAACCTCGCAGGAGGGTAGGGCGATACCTCCGCGGCTCCAGCGTGTTCACCACAGAACCTTTTCCCCGCGGCCACCACCATCCTGCAGAAGCGCTTCTTCTTTTCCACAAAGTAGCTGCATCTGCCCTCGGTTGGAAAGCCGGTCGCGTGCGAGGTCGGCGCAGGAGCCTCCATACCCCACGATCCTTTTGGCTGGAGGGCATCCGGCATTCAGCCCAAAGCTGTCACTTTCCTTTGGTCCCCTTCCCTTAACAAACATGGCCGCCCGAGGAATGTGTGTGGGGTTGTGTGTGTATATCCCACCCTACAGGTTAAGGACCGGAAATACGCCATCACCCTTGCGCGTTCGCTCCCCTGAACCGGAAGAGGTTGATGGTGGCTGCCGAGGTCCAAACCTCCTTCGTTCTCTGTGTTTATCGTTCCCCTCCTCCTTCTCCGCGGGAGCTGAGCGCCAAACTCAAACTCTGTCAGGACCGGGACTTCTTTCAAGCTGGTACGAGGGCCCAGGCCTGTGGGGCTTTGTCGCACACCCGTCGGGGCAGCGGTCCGACATGAGCCAAGTTCTGTTCCAGCAGCTTGTGCCCTTGCAAGTGAAATGCAAAGACTGCGAGGAGAGGTGAGGTCCGCGTCTCCCGGTGCCGGCGGGTGGCGGTTGGTGTCGAGCCAATGTTGAAGATGGCGGCTGGGTTCAGTGGGGCTCGGTCCGCGGCCGCGTCGGGCTGACCGCCGGGACGCGGGAAGGGACCGCGGCCGCGTCGGGCTGACCGCCGGGACGCGGGAAGGGACCGCGGCCGCGTCGGGCTGACCGCCGGGACGCGGGAAGGGACCGCGGTACGTCGGCGGGCCGGCCGTGGCGGAGGGGACGCAAGGACAGGGAACGAGGAGATGGGAGCCCGACCCCGCTCACGTGAATGTCCTAGCTCTGAGCGGGACTGAGCCCAGCCTCCCTTGCTGGGTGCGAGCTCTGATCCTCTCCAGGCCATTTCTGCAAAGCTTCACGGGGACTCCAGGGAAGGGTCTGCCCAGCCCCTCACTCATGCTCGCCTTTGAAGGATATTGAGAGTGAAGCTTTAGAACTTGAACTAAAATAATAATAATAATAATAACAACAACAACAATAACCAAAACAACAATAATAGTAATTTCAGTGATACACTTCGGCCCATCTGCACATCAGTTAACAAAACAAAGATACATTTAATCAACCCCAAACACTGGAAAGTCAGGAACTCTGTTCATTCAATAAACACTGTGAACCCGTAAAGCACCTTGGACTCCTGGGGATCCCGTGGTCTTCATGGAGTTAACAGTACCATAGAGGACATTAAGTCTATCTCACAGATAAATGCAAACTTGCAACTTTAATCACAGGTAATGCTATAACAGCTCAAATAGATTTGATTAGAAGTTAGGTCTGGGGCGGCGGTGGTGTACGCCATTAATCCCAGCACTCAGGAGGCAGAGGCAGGCAGATTTCTGAGTTCGAGGCCAGTCTGGTCTACAGAGCAAGATCCAGGACAGGCACCTAAAGTACACAGAAAAACCCTGTCTCTAAAAACCAAAAAAAAAAAGTTAGGTCTGACTTTTCCGTTTTACCAGTACTTTTTTTAAGCTGTTATTTAGTTTCTGTGAATGTTGTTTACTCATTTGTAAAAGTGATTTAACACAGCTATCCATATGATTACAATGAAGACCAGGTGCGAAAGTGTATGTAGAAACTGAAGGGTGAAGAAATGTTGCATGAAAAATGAAGACACTGATTTATCGAGTTGCTGGTACTGTTAAGCCACTGTACACAATTTAGAATTAGGTTCAGAATTAACTGGCAAAGCATTCAGAATGGACTGAGAACATCAGCCATATATGGGGATCTGTAGATGAATTGTCTTCTTGTTGTTGTTGACTTTGGCTGTTGAACTTATGCCCTCACTTAGCATTCTGTACACCGATCTATACCCCCAGCCTCTAATTGGTGGTTTGTTTGTGCTGTCCAGTATAGTGGCCATTAGCCACATATAGTTACTGAATGTGGGCTAATCCAAACTTACATCTCTAAGTGTAAAAATTTGTATTAGATTTTGAAGACATGCTAGTAACAAGAATGTAAATAATCTCAATTTTATGTTGATTATCTGTTACAGCTATTTTTAGGGTGTATTGGGTTAAATGCTTTCAAGTTAATTTTACTTTCAAAGCTAGGGGTTTTCTAATGAGACTTTAGACAATTTAAAATGACATATATGACTCACATTTATGGCTTTTGTTTTGCTTCTGTTGGGCAATATGGGACATTATTTGTGATTCCAAGCCTGACACTCCCAACTCTCCTCTGACATATTACTTATATTGTCATCAGAGTTAATCATGTTAAAACACAATTTCAACTTTTAAAATTTGTTTAGAAACCCGATATTCCTGTCACCTGTGGCAAGGATCAACCCACTGTTCATAAATCAAGTTTTACTAGAACACAGCCATCCTTATTTGTTATCAGCTGTCTGTGGTTGCTTCTGCACAAGAACGTCAATGAGTAATTGTGTGGGGGTTGGCTGCGATGTAGCTCTGCGGATGGGGGTATTGGCTGCGATGTAGCTCTGTGGTCTTTATGGTAGAGTACGTGTCTGTCCTCAGCACTCAATAGCAACAATGGGGCGGGGCAGTTGTGACAGAAACTCTATAGTCTTCAGAGTGTAAAATGTTTACTCCCTGGCCCCTTGCAGAATAATTTTGGTAACCCCTAACCTATAGGAAGAACAACCGAGATTCTTTAGCTAAGTATTCAAGACCAGTTTACCCCAATAAATACTTGCAAATGCCTACTGTGTGCCAAGAACTATCCTAGGTGCTGAGGACGTGAAGCTTCCTTTCCTTTCCCCACCAACAGCAACAACAAAAACAACAGCCTTCACTGTGGTTCTCAGGGACCACACAGCCTCAGAACTGAGATTTCTCTGGGATGAGCAGCTTAGCACAGGGTACAAGTTTAGGTCTGGAGCTCGATTGCCTGGGTTTAAGTTGTTCCAGTTCTGCCGCTGATTGGCTGACCTTGGATCTAAGTCAGTTTATTTACTTACTGTGTGTGCCTTTCTGGGGATTGACTCATGTCCTTGCAACATGCTATCATGGACTTTACCACTGTACCGTACATCCAACCCCAAGATTACACAGCTTATTGAAAAATTTTTGTCTCATCTTTAAATTCAAAATAATAGTACCTACCTCATGGGATTATTATTGAATACATACAAAGTGCTTAAAATAGTAACTAGTATAGATTAAATATTCCCTCAACCTTAGTTATTAGTGAGGTGTGATTGCATAAGTAGTTTAAGAAAGGCATAGAGGAAGGGAAGGCAGTTGGATAGAGGATAGTGCAACTACCAGGGAACCCTACCTGGAAGAAAATGGTGAGGTCTTTAAACCCAGGATTGGATAACCGCCTGCTCTTTTGTTTTGATCCCTAAGCTCTCTGTCCAGTAGTCAGACAAGAACTTGGTTCCTCTAAATGGCTCGTATTCTCTGTACCAAAGCTCTACTCCTGCTCCTCCCTCTGCCTCAGATGTCCTTTCTTTCATGACTTCCAAGGTGTGTGTGTCTGTCTCTGGTGTGTGTGCATTGTGCAATGTGTGTGTTGATTTGTGCATGTGAGTATGAATGAGTGATGAGTGTGGAAGCCAGAGGTTGGCTTCAGGTATCTTTTTTTAAATGGTCTCCACTTAAAATCCTTTTCTTTAAATGTGTGTGAAGAGGAGGGTATGTGTGTGCCACAGTGTGCTTGTGGAGGTCAGAGGACAACTTGGAGGAGTCTGTTCTCTTTTGGCCACAGGAGTTACGTGATTTCCAGGGATTGAATTTAGCCTGTCAGGCTTGGGGGCAAGTGTCTTTCCCACTGAGTCATCTTGCTGACCCTCCACCTTATTTTTTGAGACATGGTCTCATGGAACACAGTGCCTTACAAATTAATTGGCTAAGCTGGCTAGCCTGTGAGCCTTGGGGATCTCCTGACACTACACTGTTCCACCCCCTAGGGTTACAGATGTATACAAACACATTGACCTAAAAATTATTTGTGTGTATGTGTGTGCTAGCATATGTAGTGTGTGTCTTAGCATATATATATATAGAGAGAGAGTGTGTGTGTGTGTGTGTGTGTGTGTGTGTGTGTGTGTGTGTGTGTCTGTGTTTTAGCATATGTGGTGTGTGTCTTAGAGTGTCTGGTGTGTTTATGTCTTAGCATGTGGAGCGTGGTGTTGGGGGGATGTGAGCATACGTGCCCAGAGAGTGTCAGGTCTTTGGGAGCTGGAGTCAGGCCTTTGTGGGTGCTGGGGTACAAACTCTGAGAGAACAAGTATGTGCTTTTAACCACTGAACTGTCTCTCTAGTCCCACACACAGCTTTTAAATTGGGTACTGGGGACTCAAATTCAGATGCTCATGCTTGTGTAGCAGGCACTTTACTGACTCTGCCATCTCCCCAGCCCCCCAAAGTATAGCTTAAATCCCTTGCCAATAAGGATCTTTTAAAGTTGCCCAAGAAGGCCAGGTGTGATGGAATTCCAGCACTCAGGCAGGGGTACATGACTCTCTGTGAGTTTGAGGCCAGCCTGGTCTATACAGTGACAACTACAAAAATAGTTGCCTAAGTAGAAATTAATTGTCATTGATCATATATTAGGTAGCATTATATAGGGAAGAGATGAGATCAAGTTTGGGCGTTGTAATATGCCTCAGGTTCTTCCTCTGTAAGAAAAATAACTATTAAGATTATTGTTGGCCAGGAGGTGGTGGTGCATGCCTTTAATCTCAGCACTTGGGAGGCAGAACCAGGCGGGTCTCTGTGAGTTCGAGGCCAGCCTGGTCTACAGTGTGAGATCCAGGACAGGCACCAAAACTACACAGAGAAACCCTGTCTCAAAAAACCTAAATAAATAAATAAATTATATATATGTTGACTGGGGTAATATTCTCTCTCTCCTTCTTCCTCTTCTCTCTCCTCTCTCTCTCCCCCCTCTCTCTGTCTCTGTCCGTCCGTCCGTCCGTCCGTCGTCGTCCCCCCCCCCCCCCCCCCCGTGTCGTCCCCCCCCCCCCCCCCCCCCCCCCCCCCCGGTCGGGTGTCCAGCAGTGTAGGTACTCAGTAGACACTGATAGCTCTTCTTTTCCTTCTCTTGAGCTCTAAAACAGTCAGATGAATCTACGTAAGAAGAACTTCGTCTGGCTTCAGTTTGAGGAAATGAACCATGTTTACTTCTGTTTGTATCCTTAGCACCCAGCAGAGTACCTGGCTTACAGCAGCTTTTGTTTTTTGCACTGAGAGGATAATAAGGTCACAGCTTCTAGATGGCAGCATTGGGCTGAAATCCAGCTCTGGTGTCTAAGGTTTGAGATCTTTACTTAAAAATAAATAAATAAACCCACCTGACTGGATCTGACTGGCCTGGAGGGTGTTATCTGGTTACAAACAATGTTTAAGGTGTGACCTCGAGATAAGTAGTGTATTTTCATTGGGATTTTATTTGTTTGTTTTAATGCTCTTATCATGAATCTTTCTAATACAGAAAATAAGATTTGTGGTTTGAGATGATGTATCTGCAATCTCAGATTTTCCTACGACATATTTCTAGAGGGTTTTTCAAGACTGGGTTTCTCTGTGTAGCCCTGACTGTCCTGGAATTTGCTTTGTAGACCAGGCTGGCCTTGAATGCAGAGATCTGCCTGTCTCTGCTGGGATTAAAGGTGTGAGCTACCACCGCCCTAGGGGTGTTTTTAAAGTAAATATAGGGAATATGCTTAGTTTAGGGCCTTGTTTTCTCTCAACATCTAATCCATTGTAGGTACTTTGAATGTGTGCAGCAGTATTATTAATATGAGTGGTGAATTATCATAGTCAAATAATTCTTAGGTAAAGGGCATTTTATTTCTCTCTGTTTTGTGGTGTGTGTGTGTGTGTGTGTGTGTGTGTGTGTGTGTGTGTGTGTGTGTGTTTCTGTTTTCTTACATATATACATTTTTGTTTTGGGCACTTTATTGAACTGATGATTCTTTAATTTTTCTAAATGAAGTTATGAAGTACAGGACTTTCCAAGCTGTAAGACACAATAAAAAATTAGATGTCAATTTAAATATCATATCACTATAGCAAATACCACTGTATAATTTTTAGATAAATACAAAAACAAGCAAACCTCTGTCTATTAGAGCCTATTTATCTCACAAATGAGGTGAGATTGGGGTGTTTTCTTTCAAAAAGAGCTTAAGTGAAGTTGGTCAGTCTGCTTCACACCCATTGCTCTAGGCACTAGAATCTGAGCATAATCCAGTGGCAGAGTGACTGTCTAGCATGCATAAGCCTCCAGCTTTCATCCCCAGCACCATGAAAACACTTGAACAAGAATAACAAAAGCTTTCCTATGTTTGTTGTATAGACAGCTTCCCCCTTTCAGCAGATGGGGTGATGCATTCAGCTTCCTCATATGAACTGAGATATAGCATCCAATTACATGATCAACAGGAAATTTAACTGAGCTGGGCCTGCTGGCACACAACTTCAATCCCAGCACTTGGGAGGCAGAGGCGGTTGGATCTCTGTGAATTTCAGGCCAGTCTGATCTACATAGAGAGCTCCAGAACAGTCAGGACAACAACAAAAAAGACCCTGCCTCAAAAGACAGACAAACAAATTCACTAAAATGACCCATTTTAAAACAATATAAAATTGCAAGTCATAGCTTAAGAAAAGGATCTTAGCAGTTGAATCTTGTCCAGCTGTTTTCATTTTTCCCATCCATCCCTTTTTACTTCTGGTGTAGATAAGTAGAATATGGAGAAGATTTAAACCAAATCTTTAGAAGAATTTAAACCTGAACAGATTCAATTTAGTTTAGTTACTTTTCTATCGCTGTGATAAGAGACCGTGACTATGGTAACATGTAGAAGAAATGGCCAATTTCAGGCTTAGCGATCAGAGTTAGGGTCCATGAGAGAGCACAGGAAGAGTGGAGGGAGCAGACAGACAGTGAAGGACCATTTGAGAGCAAGCAGGAGACCACCACACTGGGAATGGTCCAAGTCCTTTGAAACCTGAAAGCCCACCCCCAGTGACACACCCCTACGCAAAGGCTACCTCTCCTCGTTCTCAAATTTCCAATTTGGGACTAAGTATTCAAACATAAGTACCCATGGGGGCCATTTGTATTCAAATCACCACAAATTTGTTTAATTCTATCCCCCCCACACATACACACACATCAGAGAAAGGCCATTGCTACTGAATTTAGCAGAAAAGTTTTGAGATATGTAGACGTTTTCACTAATTTTATCTTTATTAGTTTTGTTCCTCAGTTTAATGTTATTGCTACTTGTAGTCTTTGTTCATAATGGATACTGCATAGAATGTGGAGGGTTGTAGCTTCATTCTCTCAGAGAGAGTTACTTGTGAATGAGACAGATAATTGTAAACTTGTTGAAAATACTTGTATGGATATATTGCATAGAGAATATTTTATGTAGATTTGGCTTTGGCTTTAAAATACTTTATGTAACAAGATAGTGAGTGTCATTTCCTTGAATCTAAAAATAATGTAAACATTGTAATATTTTTAAGTTCTTAAGATAGTATTTCTCTGTAAGTCAGTTTGATCATTGCAATGGTAATTTTCAGATTTAAAAGTTGTTACTAAATTGATGGTTTGTCTCTTAGTACATGCTCTTTAGAATCTGGCAGTAAGGTTACTTACCAGAATACTAGCAATAGGCACCCTGATTGCTCACCCCATTTAGTCTACAGCATCTTCATTTTAAAAGTGACAAAAATTAAGCCTTCCATTAAGGATTACTTGGTTACTTATTAGAGAAACCTAGTCCAGTGTGCATTCTAAAACCTGTTCATAAGCTTGAGGGCACCCGTGGAGAGGCTTGCGTTCTAAGATGGAAACTTGAACTGATGTACAGATAGTGTCGCATGTCACTTGAACGGCTCTGAGTTGGTCATGTCTTTTCCTCCAGGAGAGGAAGTGTTAGAGTGAGCATTGAACTACAATCACTTTCTAATCCAGTGCACAGAAAGGTTGGTATTGATTTCCTTTTGAAATACGATCATTTGTGTGTGATGTAATTATTGTTGTGCTGTCTGTTTTGTTTTTAGAAGATGAGATGTGTACTTCCCTACCCTCAGTCATACTGTAATCACTAAGGGGCTTTCACCAGGTGAGGCTTCGCCATTATAGTCCACATGCGCTGACTCCTGCAGTGTCCCCACATGAAGAAATTCTACTGTCCAGTTTGTGTAGTGGTGGACTATTTGTACTCTTCTTGGTCTTTTTGGTACTATAATAAAATTACTGTTTGTTTTTTTTTTTTTAAGGTGACTCTTGTTAAATCCATTTTTAAAAATTTTGGGTCGTTTTATAACTATTGCAAGCCCAGGGTGGAGAAATCAGTCAGCAATTTAAATATAATTATACCATGTATTACTAAGTCTAAGAAGAATTAGGGGTTGATGTAACAATCTGGGTTTGCTCTGAGCATTTAAAAGATTACCTTACTTCACATTTTGATTTAGAGTGTGAATTCCATGTGAACTTCCAAATTAAATTTCATATGATACATGCCTTTAATCTCAGTATTCAAGAGGAGGAAGGAGGATTAAGAGTTCTTTGGTGTCCAACCTGGGCTACATAATTGATGCCTTGTCTTAAGAAAACCAAAACAAACAAACAACCAGCATTACAGATACAGGCCATAGGAGTAAGTGTAGCATCTGTTCTCTGTGTTCAGCTCTCCCTGATCACATGCAAGCATCTTATAGTAGGCAGTAACTTTAGGTTTTGGCCTGTTGTTGGTTTTCAGTGGCACCTGAGGTGAATTCTAAGAAGTACTTAAGTAGCTGTTACTGGACCACAGGCCCTTCCGAGGTAGAGCAAGACCCCATTTCCTCGATTTTCCAGAACAGAGTATATAGTCTACATGTTAATCTTACATATGCTACCTCTGCATTTTTTTTTTTTTTAGCCTCACTAATAAATTGCTTCAATGTTTCCAATCCCTCAGTAGCTCCTTAGAACTGAGTAGACTGTTCAGTTCTTTGTTAGTCCTGGCCCCTCTCACAACGTGCAGGTTGTCCTTGACCAGTGTTCTCTGAAGTCCATCATTGTTGTGAACTACCTGTCAGCTGTGGTGCTCTGTCACACTTTAACAACCTGGCAAGTGTCTTTATGAAAGGAACCTATTTCCTTAGAAAGTGAAACAGATGGTCCCTTCAGTGGTTAGCTGGAGTGGGAGGTCTCCTGGGAAGCCCTGGAAACATGGCACCTGATACTTATCTTCCATCTGAGCCACAAAAGCCCCTTCCTTTTCTTGAGTAATGAGTGTCAGTTTTGATGCTTTTGAAATCCCAGAGCAGTTAATTTGAGGGAAACTGAAAATAATCACTGTGTCTTGCCCTGGTGCCACAGAGCACAAAGCTGGTCTGCACAGCTCCGACCTCATAGAAGATGATGCTGTTGTTAACTTCCAGCGTTTTGCTAGCTTCTTCACACATCTCTAACTAACGGAGCCGACTGACTGCCCCTGTTTCAGGTGCTCACTCTCGCAAGGCTAGTAAGCATAAGCAGTGCAGCAAACAGGACTCTGATGTACAACTCTGATGTGTTGTTGAATAATTTCACTTTTACAAGAGATCTACTGGAAACATTTAAAAAACCTAATCTTTTCTTTAGGATTTAGTCATCCGTCTGACTGATGATACAGATCCATTTTTTCTGTATAACCTTGTTATATCTGAGGAAGATTTTCAAAGGTAAGTACTTCCTTACTTGCTGGCCCTACATGTAGTCTAGGAATTACTTTCTGAATTTTATAACGTGTTTGTACTGTTCTTTTTTGAAACATACACCTGTTCAGATGGTGAGTTATTCTGGGAATACTGACTGTCCTGTAACTGTTGACAGGGTATTTTAAAAGATAAGGTTTGTAGATTATCAGACTTCCACTTAAGCAGTCAGAAATTTGACACTTTGGCTGCATTTCTCAACTTCCATTAGGTAAGGATGATACAAATCAAAAGCTCCCTAGTTTAGGTTTTTTGTTTTTGTTTTTTAAAATAATAATGACATTAGTAAGTAAAGAATATTTCAGTCTAAGAATGATAACTACAGATAGTAATTAAGTTTCTGAAAAAACTGTTTTTCTGTTTTCTGTATAGTTTAAAATTGCAGCAAGGTCTCCTGGTGGACTTCTTAGCTTTTCCACAGAAATTTATAGACCTTCTTCAGCAATGTACGCAGGAGCATGTGAAAGAGACTCCAAGGTGAGGCTTGGGAGTGCCATGGCACTAGACTTCTACACAGACTCCCCTTTGAAAGATGACTGATGACAAAATTATTTTCCATGTGTTACAAATACCCTGGTTTATTGTTGTTAAACTGGGATTAAGGGTCAGTTAAACCCCAAATTTTAAGAAATCTTGACTCAAGGCTGGAGAGATGGCTCAATGGTTAAGAGCACTGGCTGCTCTTCCAGAGAACCTGAATTCAGTTCCCAGCACCCACATGGTGACTCACAACTGTCTGTGACTCCAGTTTCAGGGTATCCAACACCCTCATACATACATATCAGCAGGCAAATCACCAGTGTACATAAAATAACATACAAAAAGAAATCCGCCAGGCGGTGGTGGCACACGCCTTTAATCCCAGCACTCGGGAAGCAGAGCCAGGCGGATCTTTGTGAGTTCAAGGCCAGCCTGGTCTACAGAGCGAGATCCAGGAAAGGCACAAAGCTACATAGAGAAACCCTGTCTCGAAAAACTAAAAAAAAAAAAAAAACAAAAAAAAACAACCAACCATACAAACAAAAAGAAATCTTGACTAAAATAAGGAATATTTGACCCTTAATTTACATGGTTTGATGCAGTTTTTAAAGTTAGTTGACTTAAAAAAAATTGTTTTCCTAAGATTTATTTCTTATATGTTTGTGTGTGTATGCAGGGGCCCTTGGAGGCCAGCAGGTGTTGCAATGGCAGATGTCAGTTTTGTGTGTTGTAATGTGACTTTTCTCTTCAAAGGTTTCTGCTGCAGCTTATATCTTCAGCTGCTCTGTTGGATAACTTGCCGGTATTTTTAAATGTTGTGGAGACAAATCCCTTTAAGCACCTTATTCACCTGTCACTAAAGCTTTTACCTGGAAATGATGTAGAGATAAAGAAATTTCTAGCAGGCTGTTTGAAATGCAGCAAGGTAAGATTCTAAATTTAAGTCACTCTTTTAAACTATGCACCTAATTACTTTATAAATCGTTGTGGAGCCATATTGCTCTTTCTTCTTTTGTAGTGAACTTTATTGGTTTTCATTTAGCTACTGCCTATAGCTGTAAGTCTAGAAGTAGACCAGCAGTTGAGAAACTTAAGGTTCAGATATTTACTACTTTGCTCTGGCCTTAGGCACCTAAATTCCATGTGGCCATTTTATCAACTGGCAAATATGTTTGAAAATGAGTATATGAACATGATCTGAATATTGAAAAATGCTGCATAAAGTATGGAACACAAGGACGGTGTAGTGTTGCTGCTTAAGAAAAAAAGTTCAGGAAATGGGTGGTGGTGGCACATGTCCTTAATCCCAACACTTGGCAGGCAGAGGCAGGTGGAACTCTTTGAGTTTGAGGCCAGCCTGGTCTACAGAGTAAGTTCCAGGATAGCCAAGGCTACACAGAGAAACCCTGTATAAAACTCTGTCTCAAAAAACCAAAGATAAATAAATAAAAAGATAAAATTCAGGTAAGTTATTAGATCGTTGCTTAGCAAGTGCTCACGGTGCATGGATCATCTGGGGTCTCGTGCCAGTGCAGGTTCTGGTTCAGAAGGCCTGAGTTTTTGCATGTCCAGCAGACTGTTCACGTGATGATGATGATGATGTTGTATTTTGCTATACTTTGAATAGATTGGCTATGGATGATTGTATTAAATTGTAAGCTGCCTAATTTTGTTTTTGTAAATAGGAAGAAAAATTATCATTGACTAAATCACTAGATGACGTTACCAGGCAACTGCACATTACACAGGAGGTAATTCAAGTTTCATTTTGTCTTTGTAAGTCATCCAGATGTTGATTCTGAACTCCTTGAATTAAATCCAAGCCTTTGTGGATCTTCTTTCAAAGTATGTTGCCATGGAATCTCTTCTCTTTACCCTTTTTCAACCAGTTAATTATCTTTTTTTTTTTTTTTTTTTTCGAGACAGGGTTTCTCTGTGTAGCTTTGCGCCTTTCCTGGAACTCACTTGGTAGCCCAGGCTGGCCTCGAACTCACAGAGATCCGCCTGGCTCTGCCTCCTGAGTGCAGTTAATTATCTTAAGTTGATGCTTTCTTTTAGATATTTAATCCCACCCAAACATCTCTGCCATCCCTAACATATGACACATTTTCTAAGTCATCATTAAATAAGACAATGCTTAGCATCTATTGCTTATTCTTTTTTCTTTAAAGAAATTATTACATTTATTGTGTGTATGTGTGCTTCTGTTTGTGTGTGTAGGCATATGTGTACCATGGCATAAAAGTGGAGATCAGAGGACAGCTTGTGGGAGTTGGTTTTTCTCCTCCTGCCATGGGTACCAGGAATCCAACTCAGGTCATCAGGCTTGGTGGACACGCTTGTTGGCCCTTTCATTTAATTCATCTTGTTTGTCTGGCTTAAATGGCTTTATAGTTCCTATCTTCCTTTCCCTTCTCTTCTGTGTTAACCCTTTGATGGACTTAGCATGGTTTTGGTCGGGGCCACTACACTTTTGCCCTTCACCTCTGAAATCTAGGGTGGAAGTACGTGTAAGCAACACGGCTGTAGGCAGAAATACTCCTGTGCAGCCTGGTCCCTTGTGGGGCGGGGCATGCTACTGTACTTATGTATAAGAGGTAAACTTAGGAGAGACTTAATATACCCAGGTTTCTTAATGTTAGAGGAAAGGATTTGGTGCTGAAGAACTAGATGAAATTTTAAAAAGTGTAAGGCAGTTTAAGCTTGTCTGTAGGCCTAAATTATAGCTCTAAAATTGTTTTTATTCTTATCTTTACTTACTTAATCTGTGGGAAGAGCTTTGAGTATGTTTTGGATAGCTGAAATTTTCTTTTCAGTATCCTTGTTAAGTACTTTGTGCTCTGGTCCAAAGTGTAGCATATTCAAGAGACTATCCTAATAACTTGTAATTGACCTCTAATATAGACGTTATCAGAAAAAACACAAGAATTAGATAAATTGCGGAGTGAATGGGCCTCACACACAGCATCGTTGACAAATAAGCATTCTCAGGAGTTAACAAATGAGAAGGAAAAAGCCTTGCAGGTAAGAACATTAAAGGTAATTGGAAAATGTCATTTTAAAAATTATCTTTAGCTATTTCATTAATTATAAAAGTAATAAATGCTTGCTTTAAATTTTTCAAACATTTAACAAGTCCATAAAATCAAAATTCAAAGCTTATTTTTCAAAGTCTTACTATTCAAAGACTATATCGTAATCCTAGGCATTTTGTTCTTCTCAGCTTCCCAGCCATCAGTCCCCCTGTCATGGGTGACCTGGAGGGCCTCCCTTAAGGCATCATATTGATTCTCAGCTCAGTGTAGATAATTTGATACCTTTTTCTAGACTTTTCTCTATGTATATATGAGTGCTATGCAATTTATAAATATTTGTTTATAAACTCATAGCAATGTAAATTATAATTATAGATGACATCTTGGGTTTTATTTCATGCTAATAAAATTTTATTAGATATGTTGATTATAACTTTTCTTAAAAACTTAACATAAGATGTCACTCTCTATCAATTTAAATACTCCTTTTTAATGCTACACAGCTATAATTTGTCATTCAGATACAATTTAAATTAACTACTTACCAAACTGGTAGACATTTAAATGCTTTGAAATTTTGGTTACTGTGAGCAATGAGTGAGCTTTCTGTTCACATTGTGACACATTCATATAAAATTTTATTGATACATACTTGTCACCTAAAAGGTTACATCACATGGGAATCCTGAAAGTCCTTATTTCCCTGTGCTCCTTCCTGATACTATTAATCATCTTTATTTGCCACCTGACAGGCATGAAAACTTTCATCCCTTCCTGTCAGATCTTTGTGTGAAGCTAAGCATCTTTTCACATGACTTTTTGCCATTTTCATTTCTTCTGTGGATTATTTTTTGACCTTTACTCCATTTGCTCTTTCGTAGTGAGATTTCTTACCTTCTATTTTATAGCTTTAATAATAAATTTTAATGTACTTAATACTAGTGTGTTTTTTGCTGTTAAGGGTATAATTGGATTTTTTTTTTTATAACTTTAACCCAAATTAAAATTTAGAATATTATGACACCCTTCAAGGCTCCTTTATGTGCTTCCCTGTCTGTCTGGTACTCTTATGGAGTGTCTTAGGGTTTCTGTTGCTGTGAAGAGATACCATGACCATAGCAGACTTATAAAGGAAAGCATTTAATTTGGACTGGATCACATTTCAGAGGTTCAGTCCATTATCAGCATGGCAGCATGCAGGCAGACATGGTGCTGGAGAGGTAGCTGAGAGTTCTATATCTGGATCCACAGGCAGCAGGAAGAGAGAATGAACCGCTGGTCCTGGCTTGAGCATCTGAAACCTCAAAGTCCATCCCCAGTGACACACTTTCTCCAATAAGGCCACACCTCCTAATCCTTTCAAATAATGCCACTCCCTGTGAGCCTCCGGGGACCATTTTCATTTAAATTAGGACATGGAGTCATCTCCTCTTTGACTGCTGCCATCATTGCTTGGTTTTGTTTGTTCTTCAACATAAGTTGAATCAAATAGTATGTTTTTGTATCATTTCCTTCCCTCAACATAACAGCTCTGAAATTCAATAGCATGATTCCTTTTATTATTGTCTAGTATTCTATTATATGACTAGACCATATAAATAAAACAAATAAAACATATATGATTTATTTGTTTTCCTGTTGGCTGACCTTGAATTATTTGTGATATTTTGTTATATATTAAACTGATATGAGCAACCTACTACATGTCTTTTTGTGTAAGTGTACACTCCCTATTCTTGGGCACAGTTTACTGTTGAAATGACTGGGTTCTCATAGAGGCATGTGTTTAGCTTTAGCAGGAACTGCCTGTTTTCCAGTGGAGGTTTACACTGCCACTCTGTGGGTTTCTAACACTATCACATAATAATGAACTTTTTTCGTACGCATATTGACCAGCTCGATTCTGCAGTGCCCGTTCAACATGACCACTATTAAATTGACCTATTAGTATTTTTCTTATTTATTTTTAGGGATTATTTGTATATCCTAAATATGAATTTTTTTTGTATAGGTGTAACTCAGTATCTATAAAGAAGTAATTCCAAGGGCTCTCCCTCAGGATACTGAAGTAGACAGAGGCTCAAAAGTCCCTTCTGTAAAGTGGTATACTATTTACATATAACTTATGCATATCTATACTTTGGATCATCTCTAGATTACTTATAATGTCTAACATAATATATATGCCATGTAAACAATTGTTGGACAGTGTTGTTTAGGGAATAATGGCAAGAAAAATCTATACATCACAATATAGATAAAACTACATGGTACAGGAATGAGCCATAGGGTAAAAGATATGCAAATGATGAGTTCTGAATGACTGAGACCTACTTACTAATGGCAGAGGGTTATGGCAGGGTGTCACTGCATACCTCTCTCTGTCTCTCTATGAGACATGGTCTGTCTGTATAACCCTGACTATCCTGGAATTCAGAGATTGGCTTGCCTTTACCTTCTGAGTGCAGGATTAACTGTGTGTACCACCGCACCAGGGTCCCGCCTTTTCTTTTTTCTTCTGCATTCTTATTAAACAGTATTTGTGACTGGAGATTTTATATTTTTACACTATCTACTTATCTGCCTCCACTACTCTGGTTACTCTGTTTTTTTAGATAGTCTCATGTAGCCGTGTAGCAGAGAATGACTACAGGTCTGTCCGTCCCGTCCCGTGTCCCCCCCCCCCCCCCCGCCCCCCGCCCCCAGACAGGGTTTCTCCATGTACTTTTGGTGCCTGTCCTGGATCTTGCTCTGTAGACCAGGCTGGCCTCGAATTCACGAGATCCACCTGGCTCTGCCTCCCAAGTGCTGGGATTAAAGGCGTGTGCCACCGCCACCTGGCTTGCTTGTTTTTTTCAAGACGGAGTTTCTCTGTGTAGCTTTGGGGCTTGTCCTGGAACTCTCTCTGTAGACCATGCTGGCCTCAAACTCACAGATATCCCCCTGCCTCTGCCTCCCGAGTGCTGGGATTAAAGGCATATACCACCACCGCCCAGCTGATCCTCCGGTTTATACCTCCTGAGTGTTGGGAGATTACTGACAAGACAATAGTGTTAAATATACCTTTGTTTGCTTTACTTGCTCTTTCATGAAATCTGTAATTGAAATAGACTTTTTCTAAGCAGGGAAATCTGAAAATAATGAAGAAATGGTTGTTTTTCTTCTGACCTTTCCCTATTTATTTTTCTGTTCTTTCTTCTTTGACATACCATTCTGTAATAGGCACAGGTTCAGTACCAGCAGCAGCATGAACAACAGAAAAAGGAGCTGGAAGCCCTCCACCAACGAAATATCCACCAGCTTCAAAACAGATTGTCTGAATTAGAAGCCGCTAATAAAGATCTGACTGAGAAGAAATATAAAGGAGACGCCACGGCCAGAGAACTGAAAGCGAAGCTTGCTGGTGTGGAAGAGGTAGAGTGCCGGATGCTTCGCCCGCAGCCCGTGGGGACCGCTGAGGTCGACTCGCTTGGCTTCACGTTGGTCACTTCACTGCCGAGTAGATGGTGCTCCCTTGCGTGCTCTGCACTGTAATGGTCATCTCGGTACAAAGAAAACAGGGAATAGAAGATGTGATGAAAAGGAGGAACTGGGGTAGTGTAGTTTGGAGTTTGAATATAAATATTGAATAAAAGGGCATCTCTCAGATTCTTTCAGTGTATTTTTTAATATTAGTGCATTGTCCGGGTCTCACAAGGGCAGTGTTGACAAGTTTAGTCTAGCAGCTGTGAAGGTGAATGACAGTGACAGTACCACTGCTAGACAATAGCTAATGCTTACTGAGCATGTGCGAGGTGATGACAGACACTGGAAGTGACTTGCAGAAATTCCCCCCGTCCTTGGGTGCCATTATCCTCATTGCAGAGCTAATTGGGCTGCAGCACAGAGTTTTTTTGTCTGTCCTTTGCTTAAGATCCTACAGGCAACAAGGGAAGAAGCAGCTTGTAACCGTTTGCTGTTTGCCTGTCTTTCTTTCCAGCACCAGGACTGTTTGTTTTGCATTGCTGGGATTTAACCCAGGGCCTCCTGCATACCTGGCACCTGCTCTGTGGTGAGCTTCACACCCTGCACATCCGAGCAGTCTAAACAGTGTTGGTGTTTGCCCCGGACAGTTGTGGGTGTGCTGGCACTGATGATAGTTTCTACTTAGCATTAGTAGAAGCTATTTTCAGACTTTTTTTTTTTGAGACAGTGTTTTCTGTGTTCCCCAGGTTGGCATCAGACTCCTGGTGTCAGTCCAGTACCTGACTCCAGGCGAACACACGATTTCTGATTTTTGTTTGTTTGCTTTGTCTTTTGACATGGGGTTTCTCTGTGTAGCCCAGGCTGGCCTTGAACTCAGATCCACCTGCCTCTGCTTCCCTAGTGCTCAGATTAAAGGATGTGGCACCACGCCCAGCTTATTTCTGATTTTTAAGGTTTATATATTTAACATTGGAGATCACCAAAGTTCCATTTCACTAGTGTTTAGAAGCTGAAGCTCCATCCATTTTATGTGTAGATCCTTGAAATATTCTGCATTGACAATAGATGTGTACATTTATACCCTATAATCTTTGATGGTGGTTAGTGCAACATTTCTGACTTGGCGCATGGTAGGCTAATGGCTTCATAATAATGCTATATGATTCCTTCTATCTAAACCCCCAAATGGGTCAGTTTAACAGCCTTAACTATGTTGATTTTTCTACAACCTCATTGTGTTAGTTATCTTTGTATCAGTGACAGAATATTGATAACAACTTAAGAGAGGGGGATTTATTTTGGCTCAGCATTTCAGAGGCCTTATTCTGGCTATAGCTTGAACTTGATGCAATGGGGTTAAGGGGGCTCTTCATTTCACAGTGGACAGGAAGTGAGTGGGGAATGTGATACCACAGGAACATGACACAACACAGCTCTGAGGACATGGTCCCTGTAACTTCTTCTGGTAAACCCCACTTCATGTTTCCACAACCTCCCAATGTAGTGCCTTCAGCTGGAGATGAAGCCTCTGGGGATGTTTCATGTTTGAGCCATAACACCAAATTGTTTCTTCTTAGATTTGCAGATCACCTGTAGAGTATAACTCCTTTGTTTTATCTCTCTGTAAGTGTTCAGTTTCATAATTACGTGAAGTTAAACACTGTAGACATCCATGTCCTAAAGTGATTATCATTTATTGGATATTTACTGTGTGCAGTCAATATGTTAGGCAATTTACATAGGGTTTTTGAAGTTCTTGGGGGACTTATGTTAGATCACAGTCCTTTTTCTAACAGATATCAGGCCACAAATCCCTGCAGCTCTGTCTGTGGCCAGAAGAGATAAGGTGGCTGTGCTGTGGTCTTGCACCCCCGCCTTCCTATCTGTAGCTGTAAGATAAGTTCATGATCTTCCCTAGTTCCTGCTTTCATGCACGTTGGCACATAGGCCAGGCCAGACTAGATCACATGGTATGACGTTTGCTCATCCTTTGAAAATCAGTAAGAGTCAGAACTAAAGGGTCTGCTTCCTGTCAAGGCACCTAGCATGCTGTCCCTGGCAGCCATCTCGTCCCAGCCCAGCTCCCCTCAGACTTCCGTGCTGCTTTCCTTCTTCAGGACCTTGTTTCCCAAGAAAGCTTTTTTGAAGAGTGATCTCATGTCAGCTCCTTCCCAGGAACCTGCATTATTTAAAATTTTATTTATTGGTCTGTGCATGTGTGTTTAAAAATGAGTGCACACATGTCAAGACAACTTTATAAATGAGGACACTAAAAGAAGTTCAGTATTTCCACACTTGCCCTGTACATGTATTCTAATTTGAAGTCAAGTCTGTCTGATATCAAAGTTTGCTCCAAAAACCATTGTTGTGCACTATAAAATTAAACACTTTTTGTTAAAACATTTCCCTAAGTATTACTTATTGGACTTAGAGCAGTTACATTTTGGTTGCTGTTATCTTACTGAGATGTGATTTATTCTAGATTTTTTTTTTGAAATCCATTTTTAGTTAATAGTTATTATTTGCCTTTTTTTCTTGCTTTAAATATAATTCAAAGAGAAATTTAGAAATGTTAACACATTTATTGATGTGGAAAATAATTATAATATATTATAAGAAGTAGATAATAAAATTACACAGTATGGGGCTAGAGAGATGGTCCAGCAGTTAAGAGCACTTGTTGCTCTTGCAGAGGATCCAGGTTCGATTCCCAGCACCCACATGGTGGATTATAACCATCCATAACTATAGTTCCAAATCTGATGCCCTCTTCTGACCTTTACAAGCACCAGGCATGCATGTGATGCACATACATACATGAGGCTCATACACATAAAAGAAAAAGTTGTTTTTTGTTTTTGTTTTTCATAAATCAGGATTGCTTTGTTTTCTCCTTGGTATAATTGAATTCAAAGTATATTTTAAAGTTGTATCCAGATCTATAACTTACACACACCACTGGAGAGATTTTCATGGCTTTTAAAAAATATAATAGAACCCCAAATTACTAAAGACTGGTTTTTGGCTTCAGATGAGCATTATGTAGCCCAGGCTAGCCTTGAAGTTACACTGACTCTGCCTCAGCTCTGGGTGCTGTGAAGATAGTCACTACTGCACCTGCCTTTGGGGACAGTTTTGGTGTTTAAGACCTCTTAGTTTTTTAGAAAGTTGTTATTTTTGTTTTTTGGACAGGGTTTCTCTGTGTAACAGCCAGCCCTGGCTGTCCTGGAATTCGCTTTGTAGACCAGGCTACCCTCAAACTCACAGAGATCTGCTTGCCTCTGCCTTCCCAGTGCTGGGATTAAAGGTGTGTGCCACTACCACCCAGCAGAAAGGTTTTTTTTTTAAAGGTAATTAGTATTTTATTTGTTTGCTTTTTAAATTTTTGTTTATTTTTATGTGTATGGATGTTTTGCCTCTATGTATGCCTTTGCACCATGTCTGTACCCAGTATCTGGTGGCTAGAAGAAGGCATCAGATTTCCTGGGACTCAACAGAAACAGTTGTGAGCTGCCTTGTGGGTGCTGGGAATTGAACCTGCCTCCTCTGGAGGGGAGCCAGTTCTTCTATCCATTGAATCATCTCTCTGACCCTGACACCTTAGTTTTAAATAACCAGCTGACTCATTTCCTTTACATATGCATAATAATTCCTTTCCCCAACCCCCCACCCCAGGAGCTGCAGCGGACCAAGCAAGAGGTCCTGTCTCTGAGAAGAGAGAACTGTACTCTGGATGCTGAATGCCACGAGAAAGAAAAACATATTAACCAACTACAAACCAAAGTGGCGGTTTTGGAACAGGAAATCAAGGATAAAGACCAGCTTGTTCTGAGAACAAAAGAAGCATTCGATACAATCCAAGAACAAAAGGTCTTTTGTAAAAATTTAAAAATAAATGGATCACATTTCCTAGCTTTGCTTCCCCTAAGTAAACAGTGTCTTCCTCATGCTTGTTTTATGTCAGGTGGCTCTAGAAGAAAACGGCGAGAAGAATCAGGTGCAGCTGGGAAAACTTGAAGCTACAATAAAGTCGTTATCAGCAGAGCTTCTGAAGGTTGGCTTTGAACTGTTTAGCAAAATGTTAATATCGCATTGGATTGCATAAATATTCATATGAGGCTCTTACAGGCAAATGAAATTATCAAGAAGTTACAAGGGGATCTTAAAACTCTCATGGGCAAAATGAAACTGAAGAATACAGTTACTATTCAGCAAGAAAAGCTATTGGCTGAGAAAGAGGAAATGCTCCAAAGGGAGCGGAAGGAATCGCAGGATGCTGGACAAGCTCTTCGAGCCAAAGAGCAAGAGGTGGTCACTGTCTCCTGCTTCTGGGTTGTGGGTCTTCGTGTACAGTCAGTGAGCTTCCCCACGTACACATGGTGCTAAAACTTCAGCCTGGTTGGATGAAGACAGTTGCTTTGGCCTTTTTTCCTTAAACAAAACCCCACTAGATTAGGTAGATGTTAGTAACCCATTTAAGTCTGCAAAGTTATTTATCAGTACTCCAAAGCCTTGGTTCTCATATGTACCGATGATAAGTAATCCGACTGCTGGGATTAGAGGGGTGCGACATCACCACCTGCTTCATTTAGTGGTTTTAGTAGTAATCAGTTCATTAATAGTATAGTACATTTCTTTAGTCTTCAACTTTTATTGACTTGTGATGATTGACATATTTCAGGTATGCAAATTACAAGAGCAATTAGAAACTACAGTTCAGAAACTTGAAGAAAGTAAACAACTTTTAAAAAATAATGAAAAATGTAAGTAATGTTTTAGTTTTCTGTAAATAAGGCTCATAGTTTTATTGTTAACTTGAATTTTTATTTGAATTAGTAAAAGTGCAGGTAAATGAAAACATTGCCATGTACAAATAATTTCTGCTTTAAGTTTGCTTTTTTGTTGTTATTTTGTTTGTTTTGGAGATAGAGTCTCACTGTGTAGCTCCGCCTCCTCCTTGCCTCCTGAGTGCTGGTATTAAAGTCATGTGACACCACGCCTGGCGAGGTTAAACTTTTCATTGAACATTTTCTCAGAACTAGGCATCAGACATAGAATTATGAACTTTAAATATCTAAGAGCTACTGTTCTAGAAACAAAAGCTGTCAGATTTTGAGTTGTAGAAGTATGTGCTTCGGAAAGCAATGGGATAAGAAGTCCCATGCAGCAGTTGCTAAAGTAAGCATCTCTAACTACAAACATGTGTCAAGCTTGTATGTGTGCCTGGTGTAAAGCAGCTTAGAAACTGAGTGTTACAAAACTATAGTTGGTGTGGTCCTGCACACTTGTAATCTGAGCCCTTGAGAGACCGAAGCAGAAAGAGCAACAATTGTGGGCCTGTCTGGCTACAGTGAAACCTGTTTGAAAAAAAAAACCAAAGAGAGAAAAGTATTATCATTTAATTATGTTAAATTATTCAAAAAATTAACACTAAAATGAAATTCTGTTCTGCTTCTTATTCTCTTCTTTAAGTAATCACGTGGCTAAACAAAGAATTAAATGAAAACCAGCTGGTAAGAAAGCAAGACACATTGGGCACCTCTTCCACTCCACCTGTGCATTCCAGCAGCAACCCCATCAGAAGTGGGATCTCTCCCAACCTGAATGTGGTAAGAGTTGAGATGAGATGTGAGTGATGTTCCTAGAGTCCACAGTCACTCAGTAGGAGTCCGTACATATTGCCCTTGGAGGTGCAGCTCAGACATACATGATCTTAACACAGAGGCTGTATTTCAAGGGCACTCTTCATGCCTCTGTGTGTTTGTGAATATGTGGACTATGTGTGTATATACTTATATGTGTGCATGAAGGGCATACTTCATAGCCTTTTCTATAGAAATCATTATTCAATGTACTGAAACTTATACACATGAACACACACACAGAAAGTTGTTTAGAAAACTTCAAGCAGAGAAAATTGAGGATTTAGACTCAGTTTGGAAGTACTATGGAGAAAAGCCTGCACTGATTTGGTCAGCAAGCAAAGTGGGGAGGCAGCTTTATTAACAGATTTGTTGGTTCTAGAGTCTTAGCATCGTGAGAGACATTTCTAGCTTTTTCCTTACAAGGAGTGGGAGGAGAAGAAAGACAGCTCTTTAGATCAGGAGGTGGCCTGGTGTTAGGAAAGAGCAAGGCTGGGAGGACTAGCACTTGCTCATTACAGTTAGACTTAGGCTCTCCTCTTGAACATAACAATTACACAGAGTGTCATCATCAGACGTGCTCTCTTGATGAATCAACACAAAACAAGAGCTCTTCAATCATATCTGAACACAGACAGAAGTCTGCTAGGCTACAGAAAGGGCTAGACAGCCTTCTGTCCTGGCTGACGTTCGTAGTTGTGGCTTCTCTAACCACTAACAGTTCTGGCCTTAACACACGCCCCTGGCTTAATCAGTAAGACATAGAGACTCAGACACTTATTTCTACTCCCTAGTAGCTTGTAATCAGTCAATGGTAAAGTTCCACTTTCTTTAATCTTTCCCTCAAATACTCTGACATGACTAAATTCAGCCTGTCAGTCCCTTTTACCACTTGCTGAGACTCCTTAGGGTCCCTCATAGTTTGCAGGCCGCATCATATGGAGCAGTAATCCCAGCTGGACATCAGGGATGTTGCTGGCTAAGAGTGGTTGCCACTGATTGTTAAATTTAGATGCCTAGTTGAAGTTTTAATCTACTGTGATAAACTGTAGATAAACATTGTGGAAAACTTGGAAAAGATTGCTGCTAAGTTGGAATGGGGTACAAAAAGAGAAACAGTTGAATCTTCACTGAGTGCTGTCCAACAGCTGTGTAAAGGGTATCTATAGTGCAGCCACTGGCTTCAGAGGCGATACAGGTGGCCTCTTTTAAGAAACTTGGTTCTCATGACATTGGTTAATGCTGGTGCCATGATATTAAAATTAGTACAAAGCATTTCTTTCAGCTTGTCTGCTAAAAGACAATAGTCTTAATTTTTATTCAATCTGACAAAATTATTTATCTCTGAATGGACTGTTGATGACTCCAAATCTTCCTTATACCTTCTCTGTCAGTAGGGCTAGGTAAACAAGGTGCCTTGGCAGTCTTTGTTTTAACCCCATTCAAAGGCAAACCCAGTAGTTTCTTTGAACCATAATAGCTAGTCTGGAGGGCCCTCTAGGTGGACCAAAGAGGTTCCACCCTCTGGTTACTAAAAAGCAACATTTTGTGGTGTCTTCTAGAGAAAATTGGCCCCTGAGATATCACTGTTAACTAGTAATGATTACTAGCAGACATTTTGCTTTCTGGGTTAGATATTTCTCATCTCCAATCATTTTATATTTTGTTTTTTAGGTTGATAATAGACTAAATTACCCGAGCTGTGGAATTGGCTATCCTGTCTCCTCTGCGTTTGCATTCCAGAATGTTTTTCCTCATGTAGTATCTGCCAAAAACACCAGCCATCCAATCTCAGGACCAAAGGTAGCCAAATGAACTGTTCTGGAAAATTATAGAAACTTGTTGGCATATAAATATGTTTCACCTTTTAAAAGTGTGTTTGTTGCTCAGCTGCTAACTGGTAGGTAATGTATTAGATGATTACTGAATATCTAGCATATGCTTAAAGGAAATACAAGTACCAAGTGTTTGCAGAATCACTGCAGTTTGTAAAGCCTAGATTGTTGTGGACTATTACTTTAACTAGGCAAAGATGTGTTACTTTTGTTTATACTGTGGAATATTACTTTAACTGTGTAAAGGTGTGTTGTATTTGTTTATGCTGCATTTGTATAATTATGTAAAGATGTGTTGCATTTGTTTCACCTTGCCTGCCTAAGGCACCTGATTGGTCTAATAAAAAGCTGAATGGCCAATAGGTAGGCAGGAGAGGGGTACGCAGAGCTGGCAGACAGAGAGAATAAGTGGGAGGAGAAATCTAGGTTTGAGAGGAGGAGGAGGAGGAGAGAATGAGGGAGAAAGAGAGGGAGATGTCTGCCTGGGCCAGCCAGCCAGGGAACCACAGCCAGCTAGATGGAGTAGGACATAGAGGAAGAAAGGTTAAAAGGCCTGAGGCAAAATGTAGATGAAGAGAAATAGGTTAATTTAAGATAAAGAAAAAAAGCTGACTAGAAACAAGCATACGATAAGGCTGAGCATTCCTAACTAATTAAAAAGTCTCTGTGTCATGATTTGGGAGCTGGTTGGTGACCCAAAAAGAAAAAGCCTGTAGCACTAGAGATCAGTCTGTGGAATCTTGGCTTATTTCTTCTCATCTCTCCTTTTTTTTTTTTTTTTTTTTTTTTTTTTTTTTTTTTTTGGTTTTTCGAGACAGGGTTTCTCTGTGTAGCTTTGTGCCTCTCCTGGAACTCACTTGGTAGCCCAGGCTGGCCTCGAACTCACAGAGATCCGCCTGGCTCTGCCTCCCGAGTGCTGGGATTAAAGGCGTGTGCCACCACCGCCCGGCTCATCTCTCCATTTTTATTCATTGTTTTACCGAGTCAACAAGCTGAAGAAAGATTGCTAACATCATGCTACTAGCATACTGTTTTCTTACTCTCTTGTCAGAGTTTATATGTCTAGGGCAGGCTTATAGCCAGCAAATTCTGAAATGCAGTTTGGGTGACATTGTCACAAGTGGTGTATGAGAAGTAATCAATCTTCTCATACTTGATTTATTAGCAAAGATTTTTTCCTGTCCAGTTTATTTCTTGATCATCATTATTATAACTAATATTTGGTGCTTATATGGTGTTCTTAAATATATGGGCAGTCTTTGTTTTTGATTTTTCATTATTACTTTGTTGTTGAGATGGGTCTTACTATGTTGTCCTAGGTACCATCTTCCTGCTTCTGCTCCAAGTAGCCGGAATTACAGGGACACAACACTGTTCCAGGCTTCTCTGTCTGTCTGTCTGTCTGTCTGTCTGTCGCGCTCCCTGTTATGTGTGTGTGGGTCACTTGGGAATGGGAAGGAGGCCTCAGAGTACAGCTTGTAGAAGTCACTTCCCTCCATCTGTTATTTAGGTGCCAATGGCTGAGCTCAGGTCCTCAGACTTAGCCACAGACGCCTCTGTCCTGTGAGCTGTCTCACTGCCGACCTCTCCTCCATGGTTTGCTTCTCAGAACCCCATTTCATGATTGCTGTATTTTCTTTTTAAAAGATTCATTGTGGGCCTGGAGAGATGGCTCAGAGGTTAAGAGCACCGACTGCTCTTCCAGAGGTCCTGAGTTCAATTTCCAGCACCCACATGGTGGCTCACAACCATCTGTAATGAGATCTGGCGCCCTCTTCTGTATGCATAATAAATAAATAAATCTTAAAAAAAAAAGATTCATTGTGAGCGTGTGCCACTTCAAAGTGTATGAATACAACTCACAAGGAAAGATATATCCCTTACTGAATATTTAAGTTCTGTGCTTTTCTTGTTTGTTTTTACTGCTGAGGGTAAAATATGATCAAAAAATATGGAAGAGCTGGAGTAAATGGCTCAGCAGTTAACGGCACTGGATGCTACTGCAGAGGTCCACAATCTGGTTCCTGGCACCCATGTCCGGTGGCTCACACCCTCCTGTTAACTCCAGCTCTAGGGAGGGACACCCTCTTCTGGCCCCTACAGGCACTTTGAAGTGACTGTTATTTACAGTATAATTTAGTGGTTTAGGAAAATAGAGCTGAGCGGTGGTGGCCACGCCTTTAATCCCAGCACTCAGGAGGCAGAGGCAGGGGGAATCTCTGAGTTCAAGGCCAGCCTGGTCTACAGAGCAAGTTCCAGGACAGCCAGGACACAGAGAAACCCTGTCCCAGAAAACTAAAAACGAAAATAGGATCTGGGTGGGCATGGCAGCGAATTCCTATAATCCAGAGGCTGAAGCAGAATGCTCAAAGCCAGCTTGGGCTGAGCATCGTGGCACACATCTTTTCTTTTCTTTTTTCTTTTTTAATTTATTTATTTATTTATTATGTATACAGTGTCTTTTAATTATGTTTTCAGTGCTCTGTCTGCATACATCCCTGCAGGACAGAAGAGGGCACCAGATCTCATTACAAATGGCTATGAGCCACCATGTGGTTGCTGGGAATTGAAACTCATGACCTCTGGAAGAGCAGTCAGTGCTCTTAAACTCCGAGCCATCTCTCCAGCCCGTGGCACACATCTTTAGTCAGGAGGCAGAGGCAGGCAGATCTTCTGTGAGTTTGAGGGCAGCTTGGTCTACAAATCAAGTTCCAGACCGTCAGGGCTACATAGTACATAGGGCAAGTGTTCTCAAAGCACTTGGGTATGCTACCAGTAGTCTGATATTTTAGATCTGCCTCCATCCGAGAGTGTGCGTCCTCCATTTAATTGTCATCATTGTGATCAGTGAATGGAAGTGTCTCATTGTGGTTGTCACTTTCATTTCCCTGAAAGTTACCAGAGCTGGGTGTGGTGGCAAATGCCTTTAGTTCCTGCTCTTGGGAGGCTGAAGCAGGCTGATTTCTGTGAGTTCTGGGACAGCTAGGGTTACAGAGAGACCAGGTTTCAGAAAAATTAAAGTTACTGAGATTAAACTCCTTTCATGTTCTTTATTGTTCTCAGTATATCTGTTTGGTGAAGTTCTTTTGAAATCTTTTCTCAATTAAAGAAAAACTTGTTGGGAGTTGCTTCTCTCCACCATTTGAACTTAGGTCATCAAACTAGGCAGTAAGCACCCCAATCTACTGAGCCATCTCACTAGCCCCGTTTCCAAATTTATAAACAATTTACTATGAGATGATTCTGTGTGTATTCTAGACTACGTCCTCCATCAGATGTATGATCTGGAAATGTTTTCTGTCAGTTCGTAGCTTCTCCTTTTCTCTCATCTATTTTCCTTCCTTTCTGCCCCGTCCCCATGCCTCTCTCCCTTCCTTCCTTCCCTCCCTCCCTCCCCTTTTGTTTTGTGACTGAGTCTCCGTATGTAGCCTGGACGGTCCTTGAACTCGTGTTTCTCATCCCTTAGTCCTCCTGAGTGCTATTGCAGGTGTGACCCACCTTACCTGCTGGCTCCTTTTTATATTGTTGATAGCTTTTTGAGTCATGGAACTTTGAAATTTAATAGGGAAAAAAAATAGATTTATTTTATGTGTGTGGATATTTTTGCCTGCTAGGCAAGCCCTTTGCCACTGAGCTGCATCCTCAGCACCTTAGTCTGTTTGTAGAGAGGGCCTCGATCTGTACTCACGCTGGCCTTAAGTCCATTCTCCTACCTTCGGCTTTCCAAATGCTAACGTTAGATCTGCATGTCCCAACCACTGTGCCCTGCTAAGATTACTGATCTCTCTCTGCTGGCTCCATTCTACTGTAGAACCTATCATTTGTTTGTTTTTTCTTTTTTCAGTTTTTAAATTCTTGTTTCCTTTTCTTTTCTTCTTCCCCTTCGCTCAGTGCCAAGGACAGAATCTAGAGCATTGTGTATTCCAGGTGTTAAGTTTCAGACCCTAGACAAACAGCTGAGGTGCCTATTTAACACAGCAAAGTTGGACCTGGCCACCAGGTTCTCCCAGCATCCCTCAGTCCCTACCTGTTACAGGGTATGGCTGGCATACCCAACCCTTACCCTGACCTTTCCAGCCCAGGGGCTGAGCTGCCCTGCCCCCAGAGGCTCTTCCCTATATAATCCAGATATTTGGGTTCCCCGCCCCTTCTCTCTTGGACCTCTGGCCTCCTGGCTTCCGCACCTAGTTTCCTCTCCTCCTCTCCCTTCCCCTCCCACGCTCCCACATGGCCCAGCTCAGCCTGGTCATGTCCACTCTGGACCCTCCCTCTGGCTGTGCTCTTCCACACATCTACAATAAACTTTCTCCTCCACCATACTTAGGAGCAGTCATGCCCTTTCCTCTTTCTTTCTTTTTTTCATTCACCAGGCAGGTGACCTACCACCAAGTTATATACCCTTCAGCCCTACGTTTTTTAATATTTGTTTCATGAGTGTTCTGCTTAAAGCATGGTTATAATGGGTGCTTTAAAGCGTTTTCCTGTAATCTGATGTTCGTTAGCCTACGGTGGTGTCTTTTGAGTTCTTTTTTCAATACACCTAGTTGCTTCGATTTTCCTGGTCCTTTGTTAAATAGTTAGGACTGTATTCTGGATAGTGTATTGTGAGATTCTAGAGTCTGTTTAAATTGTAAAGAAGAAACTTTTTAAAAAAGATTCTTACTCAGGCTGGAGAGATGGCTGCCCACCCAGAGCACCCAGATTGATTTCCCAGCACCCACATGGCAGCTCACGACTGTCTGTAACTAGTTCCAGGGGATCTGACATCCTCACACAGACATACATGCAAGCAAAATACCAATGCACATAAAAAAATAAATAAAAAGGAATCATCAAAATAATTAAAAAAGATTCTTTGCTGTGGGATGTCCTATATGCTGTGAATATATGTTGCTATGATTGATTGATAAAACGTTGATTGGCCAGTAGCCAGGCAGGAAATATAGTATAGGCGGGACAAGCAGAGAAGAGAATGCTGGAAGCCGAGGAGAGACACTAGCCTGCCGTCCAGGGAGCAGCATGTAAAGGCAACAGGTAAAGCCACGGAACACGTGGTGACATATAGATGAACAGAAATGGGCTGAGTTTAAGTGTAAGAGCTAGACAATGGTAGGCCTGAGCTAATGGCTGAGCAGTTTAATTAATATGAGCTTCTGAGTGATTATTTTATAAGTGGTTGTGGGATCTGAGGGCCTGGGCAGGACTGGAGAAAACTCCAGCTACAGATTCTTAGTTGAAGTTTCAAGGTCTGATCTGTTTCTATAGACTGTGTTTTCTGGTCAGCTGTTTTTATAGGATTTGCTTTACCATTTGTATCTATCCCAAATGTGCAACATCCAGCGACCATTCTGTGACCTGTCAGCAGAACCCCTTTGGTTCTTTGGTTGGAGTCAGATTGTGCATGTGTTGCTCCTAAGATAGTTTTGTAATTTGTATTTGGTGCTGAGAATCATAGCTTGTTTCTTAAATGTGCTCTGCCCACAGGCCGGCAGTTTTAGATAGTTTTAACATCATTGTGTTTGATCTCAAGGTTTGCCTGTTCCTATTTGCTTCCTGTATTTTGTATCTTTTCCTTGTCTTGATTTTGGGGACTGTTGGTGATACTTTACACAAATGAGAGAAAATGTGCGATAGGATACTTGTATTTGGCTATTTTGTTTAATGTGATGCCCTCCATTTCCATCAATATTGCTACAAATGATTTGAATACTCCAGTGTGTAGTGTATGTGTATGTGTATGTACACACACCGTATTTCCCTTTTATATTTTAATGGGCATCTAGGCTGATTCTGTGTTAGCTGCAGTGAACTGTGATGTGGTGAACATGGGTGTACATTTATCTCCTTTGTATTCTGGCTTTTATTTCTTTGGGTGTACACCCAAGAGTGAAGTAAACTCATAGAAAACCCATGGATAGTGTTTTGAGGACCATCTGTATTGATCTTTACAGTAACTGTGTTTATTTACATCCTCACCAACAGGGTATGATTCCTTTTTGCCAAATCCTCACCAGCATTTGCTAATTTGTTTTTATTTTGATAATTCCACCTGGGGCAAGAAGTTACTTCATTGTAATTTTGTTTTCTATTTCCCTGGTGGCTAAAATCATTGAGCAGTTTTTCCATATTTTTATTTCTTTGGAAAAGTATCCATTTAGATCATTGGCATATTTTAAAATAGATTCCTTGTTTTGTGAATTTTTTTGGTTTGTGTATTCTGGGCATGAATTCTCTGTTGGATATGTGATAGCAGATATTCTCTCCCATTCTGCAGATTGTCTCTTTGATGACTGTGTCTTTTTCCATTTGTCATTTTTTGCTTTTCTTTCCCATGCTTTTGTGGTTCTGTCCAGAAATCATCGCCGGTCTACTGTCTTTTTGAAGTGTTTTCCCTTTAGTAGTTTCAGAGTTGCTGGTCTTCCATTAAGGACTTTTCATCCATTTTGAGTTGATTTTTATACAAGGCAAGAGGGTAAGTTCAGTCTTTGGCGAGTAGATATCCACATGCCCAGCCTCGTTTGCTGACAAGGCTGTTCTTTCTCTAATGTATGTTTTTGGTACCTTTGCAAGAGGTGGTTGACTGTAGCGTCATGGGTTTACCTCTGGGTTCTGCCCCCTGTTCCATCGGAATGTGCATCTCCATTCGAGCCAGCCTACCGATACGTTGGTTACGGTGACTCTGGAGAGTACCTTGGAATCAAGTATAATGACGCCTCCGGCTTTGCTCTGGGCTCCAGATTGCATTCTCTGCTGGGTCTTTTGTGCTTCTGTGTATACATTTTAGGATTTTTTTTTCTATTTTCTATTTCTTGGAAGAATGTCTTTGGGCTTTTGATGGGAAATTCATTGAGTTTGCCAATGAATGAATAGAATGGATATCTTAACTATATTAACTTGTTCAATACTTTTCATGTTTTAATTTCTTTCTTCAGTGCTTTTAGTTTCACTGTAATTTTGTACTTAAGTATTATTCCTTGCTAGTGTTTGCTTTTTGTATTTATTATTTTTGGTTATTTTAAAATTTAAATTCAAATGCTTTACTTAGAATTTTTAAGTAAGTGTAACATCCTTTGAAAGCCTTTTAAAAGGCATGGTTTTCAGAATACACAAGGTAAATCTGTTGTTGTGGTAATAGGTTTTGTTTTGTTTTGTTTTTTGCGTATTTTTGAGACAGAGCCTTGCTGTGTAGACCAAGCTCTCTTCAAAGTCTTGATCGTTCCAGCACATGGGGTATGGGCACTTGCTACCAGGCCAGCCAAGCGCTGGCTGTTCAGTCCTGCAGTCGACCTGAGTGCGTTAGTGTCCATGTCCAAGTTCCCGTCGGCAGTCACTCTTACTCACTTGCTTTTTTTGTGAGGAAAAGTCAGGTTCTCTTAAGTATCAACAGAGTGTAAAACACAGGCAAAACCTTTCATTTTATTGTTGAGACTAACCAAGAAGTAAAACCTAAGCTCTCAGCTCAGCCTGGAACTGCCTCAGTTCCAAGTTCATGAGCTATGTTCTCCCCACAGGTTCAGTTTAACTTGCAGCTTACAAAACCAAGCACATCGATAGACACACAGCCAGGAACAGCTGCTAGCAGGCCTTGTTCAACTGATAAGGAAAAGTAAGTACTCAGTGAGCTGCTCTGGGCTGTGAAAAAGGAACCCTCTTGTATATGCTTTTCAATTACAGGATCCCGCTTAGATGTATGGTACAAGACTTTGTTAAAGGTAGACTGTTCTTGTAAACATTTGGATATGTGTATAGACATCCTTTTTAAAGCACATGCCTTTAATTCTGCCACTCAAGTGGCAGAGATGGGCAGATCTCTGAGTGCAAAAGCCAAGATCTTGTCTCAGAAAGAGAGGGTTACAGAGATGGTTCAGTGATGCTCTTCCAGAGGACCTGGGTTTGATTCCCACACCCACATGGCTGCCCACAACCCTTTGTAACTCCAAGGGAGATCTGAAGCCTTTTCCTGGCCTCCAGGGGCACTACACACATAAATGCAGGCAAAGCACCCATACACATAAAAGTAAACAAAATACATGCACAGAACTTTTTGGATTAATGATATTCTCAAGTCAATTACGTATTTTTTTTTATCATGTGTCACATACTTTTTTGTTCTAGTAGTATATTTTATTGTCTTCAATAAACTGCAGATAATATTCTCAGTGTATATAGTTTCTCTTGTGTTTTCTCGTCCCTCTGTGTGTGTTTGCCATGATATAAAATCTTATGGTACTTAGAGAATTTTCATTTCTTGTATAGTCCTTATCCCAGTTTTTAGTATAAATTTAATACTTGTTTAGAAGGAATTTATTTTATATATATATATATATATACACATTTATTTGCTTAAAAAAAACCAGTGAGGAGTACACAGGTTAAGTGTCCTTTATTCGAAACATTTGAGACCAGCGGTACTTCAAGTTTTTGGAATATTTGCATATACATACTCAGTTATCTTTGGATGGCACCTAAGCTGGAAAGAAAAGATGGCTGCTTCTCCTACACAGCCTGCAGGGATATTATGTACTTGGTTCATGTCGTTGTTGTATTTCTGGTGCACTTTCTCATCAAATGGGGTCAACAGATGTTGGAGTTGACAACTTGTGGTATCATGTGGGTGGTCAAAAAATTATAGAACATTTTGAATTTGTCGACTAGGGACATTCAACACACACACATAGAAAATGAACAATAAAATGAAATTTAAGACCTAAAGATTACTTTTTTTTTTAAGTAGTGAAAATTTAGGACTGGAATCCAAATACTTGAAGAAAAGAGAAGATAGCATTCCTTTACGTGGACTCAGCCAGAATCTATTTAGTACTTCAGGTGAGGAGACGCTGCACTGGGTATGGTAAAGTTTCATTAACTGTGTCTAAGACTGCAGTAGTAACAGGCTGTATGGTAAAGTTTCATTAACTGTGTCTAAGACTGCAGTAGTAACAGGCTGTGTGTTTGTTCTCTTTGGCAGACCATCAGAAAGACGGCATGCTGGGAGCATCACAGACATCTTCCAAACCCACAATTCTCCCCTCTTCCTCCTCAGCGTATTTCCCTGGGCAGCTGCCAACTAGTTAACCCAACACCTTTGATCTTTCTCACTGACAGTTTAGAAATTGAAGTGCTTAATAATCCACTAATAACCAAACCACCTTTTCCTCATTCCTGGTAGCTCATCTGGATCCTGTTATACTGCTGCCATTTACAAACTTAGGAGATTGTTAAAGATTCTGAGTAAATGGTATTTTATTCTGTAAACAGAATGCTTCAAAAATATCACTGAATTTTATCAGATTTTGATTAACAGTTGGTCTGAATAAGAAACACCCTAATGAGAAATGCACCCTGCAAGGGAATAGTAACATGCTGAAGAAAGCTTGTGATTCATACTATCACGTTTATTAGCGAAACATCCTTAATTTGCCACCTGAATATTGGGAGAAATAGCTTCAGCCTGTGATTTTTGATCTGTACACTCAAGTCCTTACACTTTTAAAGTTTGTTGTTTTGGTTCGTTTTTTCTTCCATTTTTTTATACATATATAAAAATGGACATATAAAAAAAGAGAGTAATTTTTTGTTGGCTTGTTTTTCAAGCCAGGGTTTTTCTATATAGCCCTGGCTATCCTGGAACTCGCTCTGTAGACTAGGCTGGCCTTGAACTCAAGAGATCTGCCTACCTCTGTCTCCCAAATGCTGAGACTAAAGGTGTGTACCACCATGCCTGACTCATCCAACATATTTGGACTTCTTTCCCCTCCCATCTTCGCCCAGGTGGTCTACACCTCCCTACCCACATAATTTCATGTTTTTTTCTCCCTCAAAAAGAAAAACAAACAAACAGTAAAACAAAAAATACCAAACCAAAAACAGTGAAGTCCATTTTGTGCTAGCCAACTATTCCTGGGTATGGGCCCTGCCCTGGAGTTTGGTTGAAATATCCGGTGACACTCTTAAGTACTTTAAATAGCTAGAATGAATTAAGTATTTATAGTGAGTAAATTATTTTCCCTGAAACATCTGATCTATGAAATAATTTTTACATAAAAATAATTTGGACATTGTATTTACATGGCTAAAATGCTTTAGTCATCTGGGCTGAGCTTAGAATACAAAAATCCTTCAGGGGAATGGCATCATGAATATTCATGGTATTTTTATAGATTCAAAATTTGCACTCAGTGTTAATAAAGAAAAATTAACTATAGGAATTTACAACTTTCCTTCTCACTACTAAAACTTCTAAGAACTATTCCTTAGAAATTAAGTAGTTTATAAACCTCCACCATGGGGGCTGGATAGATGGTTCAGTGGTTAAGACCTTGCACTGCTTTAGTGGGGGACCTGAGTTCAGTTCCCAACACACATGTTGGAGTGGTTTAAAATAGCCTGGAACTCTGGCTCCTGCGGATCCACGGTCCTCGGCACACACCATACTTGTGTGCAAATAAATATCACATATGAACATCCATACAAAATACAAAATTTCCTACATCTTTAACCTTAAGGGTCCCATTTTGTTTTCTTTTCTTTTCTTTTTTTTTTTTTTTTCCAAGACAGGGTTTCTCTGTATAGCTTTTGCGCCTTTCCTGGATTTCGCTCTGTAGACCAGGCTGACCTCGAACTCACAGAGATCCGCCTGCCTCTGCCTCCCGAGTGCTGGGATTAAAGGCATGCGCCACCACCGCCCAGCCCATTTTGTTTTCTTATTTACAACTACCCAAAGGAAATTAAAATCCTCCTAAGACCCCAAAATCTTATTTGTAAAATGCTAACAATCATGTGATAGCTTTAACAGTTTCAAAGAGCTGAAGAAATGGCTCAGTGGTTGATGGCTGCTCTTGCAGAGGAATAGGTTCTAGTCCCAGCACCCACATGACAGCTCACAACTATGTCACTAGAGATCCAAGAGACCTGTTACCCTCCTCACGTCTCCGAGTACATTAGGCATACACATTAAAAAGCAATTTTTTTTAAAGTACATCAAGGTAGTGTTGACTTTACTAGGGCCACAGGAACACAAGGATCTTTAATCTCACTTTCAAGATGCTGCCAACTGCCAGCTACCTTCAACAAGAGGTGTAATGAAAAGTTCAGTGATGGGTAAGAATATCACCACCAAAACTACACAGAGAAACCCTGTCTCGAAAAACCAAAAAAAAAAAAAAAAAGAGTATTGTTATAATTACTTGAAAGCACTTAATTCTGGAAAGAAGTCTTTGGACAATGCGGGACTGTTGTAAATACTGTGTAATGTACATAAGGGTTGTGGCAGGCTTTGGAAGGGATATATGACATATGTAGCTTTTTAAAAAAGATACTCCTACCCTTACTATTTATAAACACACATTTCCAAGATAGGCCAGCACATTTCACAGCAGCTATCTACCCGAGTGTCTCTGTGCCAAGTGTCCATGCACACAGACCATGCTAATTCTTTGCTCTACCTCTTCACCTTTGGCTTGAAATTGTTTTGTGGTGTATAACTGTACATGTGTTTATAATCAAAATGTTGCTGTTAATGCTATTTCTAAAAACTGTGACCTTTGTTAATAAAGTACAAACTTGAGAGTTTCATATGCCAGAAGCATGTTTAGAAAATAAAAAACTGACTTGCATCACCTGTGGTTAGGAAATCAAACTTGAGAGTTTCATATGCCAGAAGCATGTTTAGAAAATAAAAAACTGACTTGCATCACCTGTGGTTAGGAAATCAAGTATTTCCAGTTGATTTGCAAATGTTTCATTTTTATCTTCAGGGGTTTTTGGTTAGGTGAGGGCAAGCGAATGGACTGCAGGAGGTAAGTTAAGGTAAGACTTGTTTCTGTAAAAATGCTTATGGTAACAAATAAAGCCCAAACAGGCCTTACAGGGACTCACAGATCAAGACTTGTTTAAAAAGAAAAAAATCATTAAAATATTTAATTTTATTAACAGAATATTTACATTTTGAGACCTTATTTAATCATAGTGAATGCTCCAAGTTTAAAAAGCATTAGGCAGTAACCACACACAAGATGAAAACAGTGTAAACTATACAATACTTTATGTACAATTTTTACAAAGTAACACTTTTTTTAAATAATATAACTGGACACAAAAATATACACTTTAGAGAAATTCACATCAGTAATTGTATAAAGCTCTCTTCTAGGGTCCTGAAAATTTAGGACAAACATTAGCTCTGTAAATAAAGTGTTACTGTGACAGTCCTGAAAGGCCACTATATATATTTATCTACATATAGATATCACATTGACATTTTCAAGGCTACCAGCTTTACTCTATAATTTTTAGACTATGTATTTCAAGTGTTGAGGTCCTTATGAGTATGCAAACATCAAAAGGATAGTGGTATAAGAAGCAGAACACAGATGTATAGGCTCTGACCACCCCAATTTAAATTCTAAGTGGCTGATATTTCCATACTTTAAAACAGTAGTGAATAATGTTTTAAATAAAATTATGGCAAACAAGCTTGGAACATGATTCTCGTTTTCTAC